CCACCAAGAAATGAGAAATAACACAAAAAAGAATGAAGCAGGGGAATGGAGACTTATACAAGTGCTAAAAAGGGTAAGATGGTAAGTAATCTAGATAGTGGAGAACTTTAGACACCAACATTTCTTATTTTTTATTAAAAGTAGTCACCAGCCAAGCACTACTTTATAATTTGTGGGAGATTAGGCTGATTTGGAAGGGATGGTCACAGTAAATGAGAAGGGACTGGCGCCATATTCTTCTGGATTTTCAGGTAGGCAAAGGTTGGCTCTTTCCCTTTGTAAAACAGCAAATTCCAGACCTAACCAATCAGCTCCACACTGCCAAGGACGAACGTTCCAATTCAAAAGGCATTTTTGCTGCCCAGTTTTACCAAATGAACAACTACACCAGAAGGGGTACCATAAGAAGGGAAGGAGCAGGCAGAAAGCAAAGACTACTAACCGTGTCCATAGATAAATGGAAACCAATGACAAGCTAGCTGGCTTATCATTTCAGGGTTAAATGAACTGTGGAAACTGGACTCAAACTATCCTTTCCCAATGGGCAGAGTCAAGCTGCCCCATTCCACCCAGGCTGGGCTTGGCCATGTGACTTGCTTTAGCCAACAGAGTACTAATTAGCACAGGAGATACATGCAGAGGCATAACTGGGTGTGTGTGGTCAGCCTTGCCGTCTTGTGCTTGTCGTCACCTCAGAACTGCTGGACAACTTTGGTGGGAGCAGACCCAAGCCTACTTCACAGCAAGTAGTCAAACCCAGTCAGCGCTCCAGTTTGAAGCAGTATCACCCCACCAAGCTTGTCAGCCAACCTGCAAAAGTATCAGGATGATTGTGTTGCTGTCATCCTCTTAGGCTTCATTACGAGGCAAATTTTGTTACCTCTTCTTTTACCATTGTCTGTGCAGGGCCCCCCAGCACAGTTCGTTACATAACAGGTGCTCAATAGACGTCTGCTGTGGTCATATTTGTGTTTCTTCTAAAATTAGTGACCTAGGAGAAGAAAACTGAAAGGAACTTATATAACTTAGTCGTCATGATGTTGTCCAACTGCAAAATCATCAATTTCACCCCAGAAAGCATGTTAAAGGCCAGTAGGTAGGTAAAGCACTGACTGGGGAAATGACTTCCTGGACTTGAATGTAGGCTTCACAAAGTACTTACTGGCCAACAGAACTTGGGTAAAAGTTCTGTCACCTCTCTGCCTCATTTTGCATCTGTTCAATGGTGCTATTAATAGTACCTACCTCATAGGGCAATTGTGTGGATTAAGAGATGCATTTCAAGTACTTATGACCTTGTCTATCCAGTACATTATAAACACTGAAAAGGCATTTTGTTACTACGAGCATAAGATAATACTGAGCAAGGCTATTAAAGTCCTCTTTGCCTGCTTCTCTGATAGCCTATTTATAGTACTTGTTCTCACTTTCGTTACCTCTGTACATATTTATAATTAGCTCTTTTGTAGGTTTTTATAAAATACCTTTTTATGCTCAGAAGTGCTAAGTGCTGATAACTGCTTCAATCTATCCCCATCCACCAACCATTTCACCCAGAATTTCATTTGCGCCCATTTCCATTTGCTCAAATCCTGCTAAACCTCCAGCCCAAATGCCACCTCTTCCATGAAACCGGTTCTGACCTTCCTTCCCAAAGGGGTCTGTTCTCTGAACAGCCTTAACGATTCCTTTTTACTTCAATTATAATATATTTCTATACTTTCGATTTTCAGGTATATGCCTTCCCACGATGAGAACAAGATCACAATTTCTAGGGCATTTTTCTGCCCATTCTCACCCTCAAGTATATGGCAAGCAAGCAATCAATAAATATATGTTGAATAAATATATATGAAAAAACCCACTTAGATTCATCACAATTCTCAGAGAGCGTTATTGAAAAATCAAGTTTTCTAAAGAAAGATAAAAACTTGTAACAGAACACTAATTAGACATCAAAAGAGAAAAGAAGTTTGCATGTAAAAAAGAAAGACTCTTGATTTATTGCATTAAAAAACTTTATTTCATTTAAAAGGTTCCAATATAAGCCAAATTAAACCCCAAATTGACAGCTACATGTAGAGATCTCCTGAACTAAATGGCACTGTTTGAGTCGAGTGTCTTGTGAGAGGAGGCAATCTGCTGTTACCACCGTTTCCCCCAAAGTAGTTAGAGCAGAAGCTGGCATTATGAAAATACACATCAGATATTTCGGATGTCGTCTTTCATGCAGAAGTTAAAAGCAAACAGGCTTTTCTGTTCGTGCAAGGATAAACCACCACAGACCAGGGCCTGAATGCTATCAACCTACAAGGTGTAACTACAAAGGAACTTACTGTGGTGCTGCGTTCATTCATTCAAGTCGTTCAAGCACTAACTCCAACATGACTTACAATGTTCAGATATTACTTGGGACAGCACTTTGGGCTTCCCCTCATCAGGTGCAGATCAAAGAAAATGGTTGATCAAGCTGGGGTATAGACTACCACAAAATGGGATCACAAAGCAATGAAATAGTTTTCCTAGTGGACAAACAATCCAAAGAACCACCTCATCAATATTTTCACTAATAGCATCATGTACACAAAGTGATGCAAGATCTAAGTTCTGATATGTGTGAGGACAAATTAAAAACAGCTGGTTACTTTATAGTTACACCTTGGATTTCACCAGATATGGAAAATCTAACAGCGTGTCTAACGAGTTCTTCTGGAAATCAGCGCAGGTGAGTCAAACACAGCCTGAAAGAGAGAAGACATGGCAGAGGGCACGAGGATCAGCATTTCAACGTTCTGTGTTCTCTTGGAGGACAGACCCGGCCCAGGTTACAGAAGTGACCGGGAGGGAGGCTTCAGCTCCATCTAAGGAAGACCTTGCTAACAGTTAGAGCTGCTCAACAACTGAATGGACTGCGAGGTGAGGTAGAGTCACTGGAAGTGTTCAAGGTGGAAAGATCACCCTTGGAGAAGGGACTCCTGCATTTGTTAAGAGGTTAGACTGGATGAACCTCAGGTCTCTTTCAATTCTGAGATTCTAGAAAATTCCCTCAGGGAATTCAGAAGAGAATTCCTAAAAGGAAAGAGAAAGCACACATATGTATACTTTTAGAATCCTCTTGAGTTTTTTTTTTTTCTTTTTTCAAAAGGTACAATAGAAAATGTAGTTTGCTGTCTTTAAAATGCATTTTTACTATCCTATCACTAATAATTAGGAAGGGTCCTTTATGACTTTTTTTATATTATAATGAAAAGATGGATGATTACATTTATAATTTCTGTAAATATTTTAGAAAAATGTTTAAAATCTAGTAGTCAATGCCCTAGAAATTTTATAGATTTTTAGGTCATATGCACAGATACAAATACATTATTCATTAAATACAACTCACATCTGTGTTTTATTATACTCTAAAATATACAGGAATCTCGATGTACTGAAAGAGTGCAAGTAGGTACAGTATTCAAGCAGTCACTATTTCTATGTACATGCTCATTAATTCTTCAAAAACCCCACAAAATTATCAAATAGATCAAAATACTGTTCTGTGTTTTCACACTTTATATTCAGAAAAACCAGCTGATAATTTACAGTGTCATAAAGTTTCCAGTTTTACAATACAAAAAAGATAAATGAAATTGGGTATCAATTTTGTGAGAATTTATGGAACTTTACCCAGACCAGTAAGACCCCCTACATGTGTGAAATCATTCTCACTGGGAAAGCAACAGTTACAGTAAATGCAGAACCATGTAAACTGTTTAAGAGCCTAAATGTCAGCCTTCTCTCTCTCTCTCTCTTCTCTTTTTCTCTCTCTCTGTTATTTGAAAGGCAATCTTCCACTTTGGCAGGCAATTGTTTCTTTCCCCCAAATCTGAATAGGACCTAAGGATTTAAGTATTGTAAATCTTGCCCAATATGCAAATGAGTTCTAAGAGACCTAATGATGTTAATGTATCAATAACAAGTGATTTGATTCTTCACTAAACAATGACAACAAACATACCCCCAATCTACATGGAGGCACAAAAGTAACAAGTGATGAAGGTGTACCATCCAAAGTAGTGAGGTCGAAATCTTCCCCAGGACCACTTAGATGCAATAGGGTGAAAATAACCTAATTTTGGATTTTCTAAAATTTTCTTCTAGGAAATGCTTTACATTTTCAAACAAAAATAGTTCAATTTAAAACCTAACCCATTCAAAACTGGGCAACAGTAGCCTGACCCCAATCTATCTCATGTCTACATCACAAGTATTTTCACCCTGACTGCATCCAGTCAGCTGGTTTTCAATTCTAATATAAAACTTGGAATTTAAAAATTTTATGTAAAAGAAAAAAATGTAAAAATACATCTGCTTTCTTTCATGGTTTATACAGGGTTCAAAGGCTTTCAGATGTTTTCTCTAAAAAAAAAAAAAAAAAAATTCAACATTTAAAACCAAATCTCAGCTTCATTTTCAGACTATCAAAGTTTGGTTTAGATCATGTTTCATTTCACCTACTCCAGTTTCCACCAAATGGCATTCTGTTAGAAAGCCTTTAAGTTATTTGGTCCTTTGGCAATTTGCTGTGCACATAATGCCTACTGTACCAAACTTTTATTGCCCTTAAATTTAATTGTAGTTCTATTGATAACATTTAAATCTAGTGTCCTTATCTCTTTTTTTTATAATAGTGTTGCTTGTGTAAGCAGATTAGGGTGCACAGTGTCCCAAATTATTCTTGGCACTGCAAAACCAAATTAAACAATTCCACAAAGCAATCTGACACCAAAGATTTCCTCTGGTCAAGTCTATTTCAAGACTCTAGAGGCTCCTTTTGCAAAACTTGCCTTTAAAAGTCTTCTTCCTAATGTCGTCACATTTCTTATATTCACTCACTCTGCGATCTTTCCTCTTAGGTTGAGTTTGTATGTGAATAAGAAAGTGCCCTTTTCCTGAAAAAGCACAGTTTGAAGTGTTAGTGTCAGAACTCTCTCCTTAGACACTGGCTCAGCCTCTCAGTAGGTCTCTGAATCGGAGTCATTGAGCTCGTCCACATCGGCGTATAAGTACTCCGGGTCCCCGCTAATGTTGTTGAAACTGCAATAGGAGCTAGGTTCATTCCTCATGATGGGCAAGGCTTCAAAGCTGACTGTTTTTGAGGTGTTGGTGTAACGATTAATGGCATTGAATGTCAGGGATGATAAAGGGCTACTTGATGAGACAGGCATCATGGTGGCCAAAATGAGAGCTAGGCAATCAGCCACATCCTTATTGGGAGCACAGGCCAAAGCTGGGGTATAGCCTAGAATTAAAGATAAGATTTAAAAAAGTTAAACATCCTGAGACTCACTTAGCTAATATAAGGAAATAAGCCTAAAGGCCTTCATCTTTAGATATGTTTTCAATTACTTGCCTTATACTGATTTGGTTTCATTAAAATGATTCGGACATTATCAATATGTAGAAAAGAGAAAAGTTTTAGAAATCTAGGGCAGAAGATTTTATAGATTACATTATAGAAGAGGAAACTGAGGCCCAGAGATGGATGATTTCCCCAAGATGTCACAATGTATCCACAGCCATCTGAATTCATAAAAGATATTGGGATAGACACACAATCGACATAAAAAAAGTAAATTATATACGATATATTAGAACAGTGATTTTCAACCTTTTTTCATCTCAAGGCACATAAATATGAATTACTAAAATTCTATGGCACATCAAAAAATATATATTTTTGCTGATCTGACAAGAAACTATAATTATAATTTTGATTCATTCACACTGAATGGCTATTGTGTTGGCTCTCTTCATTTTTTTATTTGACAATCTAAGGAAAAAGAGGTCAGTAACCCTGACTAAATAGTCAAGTATTGCATGTTTTAAATATTCTTGGGGCACTCCAGTTAAAAATTGCTGTTAGAAGATAAGCTCTGCAGAAATAAGACTGAGGACTGAGGAAGCTATGGTGGGGGTATGCGGCAGGTGTAGTATAAATAGGGTAGTCATGACAGACTTCATTGAGAAGATGACATTTGAGCTAAGATCTGAAACAGGTGAAGGATTCAGTAAAAGACTGCTTAGGGACAGAGTGTTCCAGGCAGAGAAAATAGCCAGTACAAAGATTATGACCCCTATATATTCGTGGGGAGAAGGGGCTAGCATGACAGAATGCAGAGAAGGAAGAGACGGAGATAAGATCAGAGAGGAACAGAGCAGCAAACCAATCATGTAGGGCCCTGTAGATCATTATACAATATAATAAAGAGGTAATATGCAAATTAACCCTCACAAGATGACTGCCTATTACCAGGCTGGCAGGGGGGTTAGTGAGGGTTGACCAAACGAATGAACAGCTGGCTGCATGGAGCAACCAGGATGGCAGGGAGGTTATGAAGGACGACCAAACAACTGAACAACAAGCTGTGTGGGGCAACCAAGACAGTGGGGAGGGCTGTGAGGGGTGATCAGGCCGGCAGAGGGAGGCAGTTGGTGGCAACCAGGCCTGCAAGAGGGGGGTGGGGGAGAAGTTGGGGATGATTAGGCTGGCAGGGGGGGCAGTGAAGGGCGATTAGGTCAGCAGACAGGGGGCAGTTGGGAGTGACCAGATTGGCAGGGGAGCAGTTAGGGGTGACCAGGCTGGAGAGGGGGGCAGTTGGGGGTGATCAGGCAGGCAGGCAGGTGAGCGATTAGGAGCCAGCAGACAGACATCCCCCAAGGGGTCCTGGATTAGAGAGGGTGCAGGCTGGACTGAGGGAATTATCCCCCACCCACTGGCCTCATGTATGAATTTTGTGCACCAGGCCTCTAGTAAGGATTATAAGGAAACTGAGATTTGGAGGAATATCTTCTCACACTTTTTAAAAGGATCCAGGCCTCTAGTAAGGATTATAAGGAAACTAAGATTTGGAGGAATATCTTCTCACACTTTTTAAAAGGATCCAGGCCAGAGTGGTAGGAATAGAGAAGATGAAAGTGAGCAGGGGCATACTTTGTTGATAGACTGTACATTGGTTGAGAGAGAGAGAGGAGTTAAGGAATACTCCAGATTATTGCTCTGAGCAATTATTATTATAAGGATGAAAATTGTCATCAACTGGGATCAGGACAGCAGGGGGAGGAGAGAAAAGATCTGCAGTTCAGTTATGGACATGTCATGTTTGAGTTGTTTATTAGACCGCCATGTGGTACTGTCAATTAGGCTGCTGGATCTCTGAATATGGAGATCATGAGAAGTCTGGCTGGAGATATAAATTTAGGACATCTCAGCACAGGTAGTATTTAGGACCAAGATACTAAATGAGATCACCGAAGAAGGGAATGTAAGTAGGGAAAGTAAAAAGAACAAAGGACTGAGTCCTAGAGCCTACCAAAATTAAAGAGTTGTGCAGAAGAGGGAGAAAGGTTGCAAAATAAATTAAGAATAATAATTAGTAACACAGGAGGAAAACCAAGTAAGTCTGGAGGCCTGAAAGACAAATGAAGGAAGTTTATTAGAGAAAGAATATATACTTGCATATCAAGTATACCTAAAAAAAAAATAAAAAAATAAAAAAAAAAACAATTTTCAGTTCCAGTTAGTTTGGTTAATTAATCCAACAAGTTAATTACAAACCCTTAACCTGTAATCAATTCAAGGAAGCAGTATGTGTGAATGAAGACTGGGTTCACCTAAATAAGGGAACTGTAATCAAATCACAGATACTCACTATGACTCTCCCTCTTATCTGTCCTAAAGTGATCCGCACCAATTTATCCAATTAGTAGTAAGCAGTATAAAAGAAAACATGAAGATTATTCGGGGAAAATATTGGACACTTGCTGTGCAAGATTGCAACTTTCACATCCCCAGTTAAAATTTGATATATCAAGTTAAATAAGAACTAACAACTGATTCTCAACATTGGTGGTCTGTGGAGGAGATTTAAGAAAGAATGAAAGAGAAGAATTGGAAACAGAGGACAGCCAACTTGAGTAATTCTGCTGCAAAGAGGGACAGAGATATATGGCAGTAGCTGGTATGAGTAGTGGCAATGATGAAAAATTAAAAAAAAATTTTTTTTATTGACTTCAGAGAGGAAGGGAGAGGGAAAGAAAGATAGAAACATCAATGATGAGAGAGAATCATTGATCGGCTGCCTACTGCACATCCCCTACTAGGGATCAAGCCCACAACCTGGGCATGTGCTCTGACTTGGAATCTAACTCAATCTCCTGGTTCACATGTTGACAATCAACCACTGAGCTATGCTGGCTGAACAAGTTTTTTTTTTTTTTAAGCTCAGACAAATAACATTTATATATGATAAGAATAATTTAGGAAAATTCCAACAAAAAAATCTTTATTATAGGTTTTTTGGTGAAGTGAAGAACTGCTAAAGTGATAGTCTCAAGTAAGCAAAAGGAACACAATCTAGTGCATAAGTGGGAATATTAGTTTTCGGTAAGAACCTGGCAATGAAGTAAGAGCCTTGAGAAATATTTGTTGACAAAACAATTTTTTTTTTAATACTAAGACAAAAAAGATGGCAATACCAAACCAAAGTTAAGAAACACTAATTCTGATTTAATAGATGGATATGTAAAATTCAGCTAATCTGTTAGATGAACTTTTCTCCTTTGCCTTGCCATTATTTCCTTTGCCACAAAGTAACTACTATTCAATATTAATTTCGGTTCTCCTCTTTGACTAGTAAAAAATATCCCAGTTTACTTCAAATATGGATTATCAAAAGATAAAGGCTCCTAGTAAGATATAGGTTAAGTACAGAAAATGTAGAATCTACTTACCGTTTTCATCTACTGCAAGCACACTTGCTCCTTTGCCCAAAAGTTCCTGAACCACCATTGTTAGCCCATTTCGGGCAGCAACATGCAGAGGTCTGGGGGGGAAGAGGGAGGAAAGAATTGTACATGTATATATGTGAATGCCCATGCACATGTGCACACAAACAACACACACATTATAAACTCGAGGCATCCAATCCCAGCAGCAATAAAGATGGATGTGAGGGACAGCAGACCCCAAGTATCGTGTCACACCTCGACAATACGCATAAGCTCAGCACTCAGTCATGTTAGCAAGTATCTTGTCTTCACTAAACCCTCTTGTTAGTTTTCTTCTAAGACTAATGTTTAAAAAGATTTTACCAATTAAATTGCATTTTAAGTTGTTGCTTTAAGAAATGAGGTTGGCAAACAGATATAATAGACTATACAATAAAAACAATAAATTGCAATAGCACAAATTCCAAGACGCCTTGAAAATAGTTTACAAATTCCATGACTAATTTTTGGACCCTTAAAAGAGCTAATTGCTATGTGAATGGAAATGAGTATCATAGATTTTTCTCTATACCAAGCTTCATAGTAGAACAGCCAATGGAAATTGGGAGAGGACAATGGGAGATGTCCATTAAGATCTAAGCAGTCACCTAGAGAGGCTGGCTGCTCACATTAAGAACTTGATTCTTTCTGAAATCTCTTTAGCTTATAGACACATAAAAACTTTTTACCTCACTTAATGCTGGTGTTGAATAATGTATTATTCTAGGAGATTTCCATAAAACACATAGAATAGTATTACTTTCCTCCATAAAATTGAATTAAGAAAAAACATTACTTTCAATAATAAAGTTTCAAATTCAAAAGCTTTTTCACTAATATACCTTTCAATTGTTATAATTATAGAAATGAGTTTGTCAATTATAAGCTGATTGTGACTGATTCCAATGACCCCATGTTAGAAAAATACCCCATTTGCAATGATAGGTCACAAGGTTTATACTAGACACAAAATACTTACGTTTGCAAGGCTGCATTAGTTGCATTGATGAGGTTTCTATCTGTTATCTTTTCCAGAATTAACAAGGCACTAGTTTCATGACCCTAAAATTATGGAAAATAACTCCTAAAAATTTGGGTACTATTAAATATAAATTAATTAACTCAATACACTCCAACCCTGGTCCATATAATACATATGCCATGAATTTGTCCAAAAGTGTTGATGGAATGAGGTTGGGGGAGAGGATAAGAATATTTAAGATTAGAAAGATCAAAGAAAGACAATAATTATGTTTAGGCTTGTGCTCTAAAACTTGTTTGGCTTACTGGAAACTTTCATACACCATAGTGCCTAAGATGTAGGTACTTTTTTTTATCAAGAAATCTGTTGCAAATGATCATTTGAGAGGTTTAATCCCTGGCTCTGTTCATTTTAGTGAAATGGAAAATTTTTAAATGCTACTGTTGATATTAACAATAAAAACATATCCTTAAAATGTGTACATACCTTGCTGCAAGCCAAATGGAGGGCGGTGTTTTTACTGTTGTCTTGTAAAGTCAGATCTGCACTAGCACTGCTAACCAGCATCTCTGGGAGGAAAAACTGCATCAATTCTTATGTTTATGAACATATACCTTAGATCACTACTAACTCACTGTAGAGAAATGAAGATCAAAGCAAAAACATACCGCTAGCAAAAACGTAAGTGCAAGAAAACTTTTGTATATTTTAATATACAACATACAGACTATATTGTCTTGCTGTTGTGTAAGTCAAAGACCTTAACAACAACAACATATATTTTGTGAGTGCTAAATTTTAAATACTGTTTTAAGTGTTCTGGAATAATACCTTATTTAACTCTCACAACCACCCTATGAGTAGGTACTGTTTTTTCTCTCACTTTATAAATTAAAAAATGAAGGCATAAGGTCACTTAGTTGGCAGACCAAGGACTCACATGCAGTCACTCTGGCCCCCACCCCCCAGCCAGTTTTTGAACACTTATCTTATAATGCCTCGCTGGGAGCGGACTATTCACTCATTAAGGGTGAATGAAAACATTTGGACCCTGAATAAAAATGTGGGTTGTAAGCAGATAAAAGGTTTTAAATCTCAGGAGTGGTGGGATAACTAACTAGTGGAAATTCTATGAACTAGTGTCAGAGGGCTTAGGTTTGAAGTTCTACACAAGCAATATAAATATTCAGAATAATAAAAGCCTTAACCAGTTTCTTTACCAACTGTGTTTGTTTGTCCGTTTTCTGCAGCCATCATGAGAGGTGTTTTTCCAGAAGAGTCCACAGAATTGACTTGAGCATTATGGCTGAGCAACAGCTGTAAACACTCCACATGGTCTGTAAAGGCAGCTGCATGGAGAGGAGTTCTGCAATGCAGAGAAGTGGAGAGACTTGACTAAATCTATATGCCATATACTCTAAAAAAAGACTGCTTAATTTATGACAAGTAATTTTCAAGGGTTTATAGATTATGCTGTAAAAGCATTGCCTAGATACTAATAGGACTGAATTTAGTAACTTCTGCTACAAAAATGTATATTTCTGATAACATAAAATATCCTTATTAAAACTAACATAAGATTTATAAAATTGCTAAAACAATGTTATAGCATTAAAAGATATATTGAAAGTAGAGGCCCGGTGCACAAAATTCGTGCACAAGGGGAGGGGCATCCCCTTTTTCCAGCCTGTAATCTCTCCGATCGGGACATACCTCTCACACACTGGGACTGCTAGCTCCTAACTGCTCACCTGCCTGCCAGCCTGATAACCCCCAACTGCCTCTACCTACTGGCCTGATCGCCCCCAACTGGCCCCCTCCCCCCCGCTGGCCTACTCACCCCTTACTGTCCCCCCCCCCCCCATCCCTCGCTGGCCTTGGTTGTCCCCCACTGTTCCCCACTCCTGGCTTGGTTACCCCTAACTGCTACCCACCCTGCCAGCCTGGTCACCCCATTCAGCCTGCTGTTCAGTTGTTACTCTGATGGTGTCGTGGACAATTTGTATATTATTAGTATAGATAAATCAATCCTGACTCATACTACCATCTATTACAACTGTTGGACTCTCTTCCAACCTTTATTTCTATATAGAAAAATGTTAACTTTATTAATAATATTCATTGGGTAACAAACATACTCCTTTAAAAAAAGGGGGGAAATCTTTATATATTACAAGTTTTAAAAATAAGAGACTGGCTAAAAATCATAATAAAAACGTCCTTTACAACGAGAACATAATTAAGATTTTATAATACTTCATAGTTGCAAATATAAAAAATCAACTTTTAATTAATAATTTAGCTGATGTTGTAACTCATTTTTTTTTTTTTTTCTCCTATGGAAAGTAAAACAATTTCCTACAGAACTGAATCCTTACCTTCCTTTTGAATCTGTGGCATTCACGATGCTGGCACCCAATGTATCAATTAGCATTTCAGCAGCACCTTCGTTGTCATTTATCCTGTATAAGGTAAGGAGGTGATCACTCTCACAGCTATGGTGCATTTCTTAGCCAAACTAAGTTTGATTCATTCTGCTTTTACTTACACAGCACAATGCAATGGACTGAAAGCATTTCCTTCTATCTTCTGGAAAACATCCTGTTCTAAAAGAAGTTCTACACATGTCTCGTGACCTAAATAAGCGAGAATCAGATATTAAAATCTCCCCAAAATACTAATGTGCCCACATACACCCACACATCCTCACACAAATAAGAAAAAAAATGTACACGGATTAAAAATAAACAGTCCACTGAACCTGTTAAACATCACATTTTTAGGAGCTTTGGAATTCAAAGTACAACCTCAAGACCTAAGTACAGTAGCTTCTTGTGATAATTTTATTGGAGTTTATTACTGACACAGCAAATACTGAGTGTGTGGGGGGGAGATTTCTCCCAGTTCAGTCTCTAAAGTGTAGCCACTGTTACCTTAACAGTTCCAAAAACTCTCTAGGCATATACAACTGCATGCACACTGACACATACTTTCTTTTTAATTTTTACATAAATGGGATGTTTAGTTCTGCAACATCTTTCTTACTTAATAGCAACTTTAAAAACATGAAAAAACCCAAACCTTAACTTAATTTTCAAAGCCAGGGTTTTAGTAAAATTACCATAATTGCTATACTAATTGCTGCAAATGAAATGCATCAGTCATCTGGTATCTGATTTAGGAATAAATTATATTCTTCCATCGCCTCTTTATTTTCATGGCTTAATATCTGAGTAGCACAGTAATACTAAATTTTTCTTTTTAAATTACTCTAACATGCTAAACAACAGCTTAACTTTCTTTATCCTATAATCATTTTTACCATGAAAACAAAGTTCTAGAAAACTTTTAACTGTGTTGGTTCTTTTCTCTGATCCAATAGTTCTCACCTGGAGCCATTTGCCCCTTCATGTCTGGAGATATACTTGGCTATCACACCTGGAAATGGGGCAAGGGATGCTCCTAACATTTAGGGCGGAAGCCAGGGAGGCTGCTGAATATCTTACACAGCATGTGACAGTCTCACAACAAAGAATTATCTGGCCCAAAATGTGAACAGTGCTGAGGTTGAGAAACCCTACTTTAATTCTCTCTCTCCAAATGTTAACTCATTACAAAACATTAACCATGGAAAGCTGTCCAGTATTAATTTAAGAACCTTATTTTCCTGGTATACCAGTTCTCAAGGTTGGTCTTGGGAAGTTTGGGTTGATTCAAAACTAGTCTTTTCTTAAACTAATCACTAAAAAAGCTTTCCACTTTTCTCACGAAATTTTTGTTGTTTGATTTGATAGTTATTTTTCATAAAAATGTTATTAATATGCAATATATTTATTATTAATTTGTTTTTTTTAATATATTTTATTGATTTTTTTACTGATAGGAAGAGAGAGGGACAGAGAGTTAGAAACATCAATGAGAAACATTGATCAGCTGCCTCCTGCACACTCCCCAGTGGGGATGTACCCGCAACCAAGGCACATGCCCTTGACTGGAATCGAACCTGGGACCTTTGAGTCCGTAGGCCGACACTCTATCCACTGAGCCAAACCGATTAGGGCTATTTATTATTATTTTAAATACATTAGTACTGGGTCATATCAAGTTGAAAAACTCATCACTTGTGTCTTAGTTTTTGAAGAAATGATAAAATTGAACTCTTCATATTTCTGAGGAATATTCTGAGGATGCTCAGTTTCATAAAAATTGATAAATTTTTAAGAGAAACATGCGATAATGTAAGTTCTCTTAAGTTCTGTGATTAAATGACTATATAAATTGAAAATCTGAACTTTAAAGCGTAGTATGTATAACCAGTTCTTTTATAAAACTTTGCCACCATTCCATTTCAATTTTGAAGAAAACAATGTTTTCTGTTCTGTTTGAGTGGGGAGTGCTTCTAATTTTCTTTTCAGCTGTACAATAATTACCAGTCAAAATAAAACCATTTCATACACTCTATTCTCAGAATGCCAAATTACAAAATAGGCTTTTGGCTATAAATATGGTATTAATTTTAGGCTGTCTGTAGAGTCCCTTCTTGCATATAGCCAACACTAATGTCTTCCAGCTTGATTCAGAATCATCACACTCTTGCTACAGTCTAGAAATTAGACACATCTGTTATGATCTTTAAATGGCAACCAGGCAAGTAGTTCATGCAAAATTTTCTCTTGTACTGGTACACAAGTGCTTAGAGAGTCTAAATTCAGTAGTGATAGAGTAGAAACTAACTTTAAGGAAACAGTGCTCTGCATAAAAACCTGAATATTATAATGGACAGCAACCCCCCCCAAAAAACAGCTACCGTAATTTATTTATAATTAAATGTTCTTTATCTGAGGAAAAATACCTTATTGTGTAGTTCTTCCAATGTTAATTCTCACTGATACATTTAAAAAAAGGCAATAAAAGTCTGCTTCAGACTAGTTTTATCTCAGACTTTTTAAATAAATAAATTTCACATCTGTGGATGTTTTACTACCATATTACGTTTTTGGATTTCCTTATACTTGTAAAATGTCTTCAAGAAACATTATAAAAATAAATCAAAGTCAATGGCAAAATAGAGTAACTTCTTTGACTTAGGACTAATCTTTGGCTATTTCACTATACTCATAAAAATACCAACTTTAGTAAGTTGAAAGGGAAAAAGAGATGTTGAAACCCAAAGGCTTTATAGGATTCCAGACTGTGTTGGCTAAGGTTCAGAGGTAGTAGAAAATGAAACTGACAAAACTTTTCAACTAGCAATACATTTAATTATTTAAGTTTTTTTTTTATGGTGCCATCAGTACTCAGAATTGAAGGATGACAATGGTCATCACAGAACAATCCTCAGGAAGAGATCAAAACTTGCTCATAGCAAAAAGAATAGAATTCTCACACAAGAATTGTTAATATGAAAACCAAAATATTGTATCTAGAAGATGCTTATGAAAACAAACTAGAATTTTGCAAGATTCAGATTTTTCCTCTTTCATCTTAAGTTAGCATTATATAAAGAGGAAATTTATATTTTCTCTAACTTTTGAGGGAAAGTTTTGAGATAGACTCTCACAGCTTACCTTAATCAGAATGCTACCAGTACACTGAAATTCACCCCCCAATCTGCCTAAGCCCACACTCTGTCACAATTTATGTTTATACTGCACACAATGTACCTGAGTGTTTCCTAAGATGGTCATATGCCCCTACACATCTTAATATGCTTCATTACTTACATTATTTTAATTAGTGAAAACTCACAAGCCAAACTCCATTTTAAACATCTATAACTTAAAAAACAGTTTTATCTTTCTCTAAGAACCTTTAATGAGCCTACCTGTAAAAGGACTGAGACTGTTAGTCCCTTGAAAGTTGAAGGTAAGTCAGTTCTAACCATGCATCAAAGTTAACTTAACCATGGAAGTTTCTAATTTCTACTTTTATGATCTGCTAGAATTTTATTCCCTTAAAAATTTGAGCATACATGGTACTGTTGATGTAAGGATCTTAAGAATATGCTCACAAAAATACACAATTTCAGTTTAGAATGTGATGCATTTTCATTATTTCTTCTACCTTAGTCAGTTTTTCCCTAAAATAAGTACATTTAGAAAGTGAAAGAACATAATTAAAACACAAGCATACTACGTAAAAGACATTGGAAATAATATTATAAAAGTATCTTAAAATGCAAATACTTGAAGCAGAGATTTCAGAAAATTTTCAAACTTGACGATAGCTTATGTCAAAACATCTTTGGCCATTACTGTCTTGGCTTTAACACAAGGAGCTGGAGTATGTTATGACTACATAGTAGATTGTTCCTAGGCTTCCTACTTATCTTAGACTTTAAATCTTCCTTATAAATATATCATTTTCAGGAATCTCAAAATGCTACAGTTAGCTGTCCCTGCTTGGCACATAATTGGCATTTATTGTAAGTTTGTATCTGTATACTTAACCGTTATAGCAAGCCCAGTGAAGTGCTGTATATCCATGATTGTCGGCTATAGCTGGATTTGCATCCACAGATGCTGCTGAGTGCAAAAGGGCTCCCAGAACACCTATGTGTCCACAGGCAGCTGACAAGTGGACAGGTGTCCGCCCTCTGCTGTCCCGAAATAAGCACTTAGCACCATGTTGAAGCAATGCATCTACACATTCTTCATGGCCTGTTACTGCCTGAAAGAAAGATTGTTTGCATATAGTTGAATATATTATGTTGGGTATTACATGCCAATTAGAGCTAATTACAAATTTTACATTTCATTTTTTTTAAGTTTTTAAAAAAATATATATTTTATTGATTTTTTACAGAGAGGAAGGGAGAGAGATAGAGTGCTAGAAACATCGTCGATGAGAGAGAAATATCGACCAGCTGCCTCCTGCACACCCCTAACTGGGGATGTTCCCGCAACCAACGTACATGCCCTTGACCAGAATCGAACCTGGGACTTTTCAGTCCGCAGACCGATGCTCTACCACTGAGCCAAACCGGTTTCAGCCATATTTCATATTTTTAAAGTCCATATTCCTCATATCCTTTCACCAATCAATGCATTTATCATTTTTGAATAACTTAGTATTTTTATTAGAAGTGACTTGAAGAGTCAGTTAAAGCAGTAACTTTATCATGATATAAATAGTATGAAAAACAGGAAGAGGAACTTATAATTCAATAAAAATAATGATGTTTCAAGGTGAAAAAGTTAAGATAGAAATGTTTAAGAAAATAGTTGTGATAAATTAGCATTCAAAAACAATAAATACTGAAGGAAAAGAGTAAAGATTATTTGGTAAAAATTTAATGAAGAAAAATAAACATAGCCTAGTTCAGTTTAGGTAAAATGAGATTATAAAAACAATTTGAAATGAAATGGGATTATTTTTGCTTACCCCTCTGTGCAATGCTGTCCTTCCCCACTTATCTTTGGCATCTACGTTTGCTCCTTTGTTTAGCAATGAGTAAACACAGTCTGTGTGCCCGTTGAGGACAGACAGCATCAGAGGAGTTCTGAGCAACAATAGGAACAGGTTCAGTGTTACCAGTTAAGGCTCAACCCCATGAAAAACAGTGCACACGCCTATTTTCTAAATGCACCTTATCGTGATACAACTTCAAAGCAGAGGAAACTTTAAAAACTATATTTTATGTTACTCAGTTACATATTATGACAGGCTTACTAAAATAGGGGCAAAAGCATAAAGATTAACAAACATTCTAAAAATAATTTGAACATTATTAAAACTTACTGTCCATTTCCATCTTGAATGTCTACAGCATTCTGTGGTTCTGCATTTCCTACTAGTAGTCGTAAGCATTCTGAATGACCATTTGTTGCTGTAAAGTGATATTTAAACATTTTAATAATTATATGTAATAATAAAATAGAAAATGTCCATCTTAGAGCACACTTCCTAGATATAATTTTGGGATGGTTTATTGAATGTAATAGGCAAGAAAGAAAAATATCTATAGATACAAAGAAGGTTTCTATTGCTTTTGTTGATTAAACAGGATATAAATTCTTCATACAAATTCACAGCCTTACTCATACCTCATTATCCGACTTGCTAATTTATTTAGAGCATTTATGGTGGCAATGTGGTCAGGGAGGGTGGACTGCCTCCTGCCAAGGGGTGAAATCATTAGACCAAGTCAATCACAATAACTCTTTTTCCTTTGCCAGTGATTGGCTTCAAGGTGAGTACCAGTCCAGCTCTAACGAATGAGATGCTAAGGAATCTAGAGGGCTCCTGGGAAACATTTTTGTTCTGGATAATGAAAAGCCTTCCTTCCTTCCTAATTTTAGATGTGACCTTGTAAAGTAGCAGCAACCATTCTCTGACATGAGTGCAAAGGCAAGAGGGTAAGAGTTCTAACACCACTGCTGACACCAACCCTGACATTTTATGAGACAAAACACTGTCACTTGAGCCACCTTTTAGTTTGGTACTAAAAAAGAATTACAATTCACTTCCAGGAAAACACACACACACACACACACACACACACACACACACAACACACACACAAAAACTCAGTGTCCTTTCATGACTCATAAGTAAGGTGCTCCCTTACAAACAGATCTCCAAATGCAAAAGGCATCTACAGAGCAAAGGCTTCCATTTACTGAAAAAAGGTGTTAACAATAACCTGTAACTGTGGCTCTCAATAACCTGTTTCAGTGACTGGGACTCGGAGTACAGGACACTGGTCACCTGAGGGACAGGCTAATGTCTTGGTTCAATCTTTACCCATTAAGAGTGCAAACACTCCATGAAAGATTCAAACTAACTGCAAACGAGATGTACTGATAATTTTTCAAGTTGCAGAATGATATATGGCTTCACTCTTTTTTGGAATAATAGAAAATTTTGACCTCTTATTCTTACCATGTAGCTGTTTATTTCATACATTTATTGAGTTTTAATCCATTATTAAAACTTCTGCCTTTGAACCCTCCTTGAATATCTGATAGCTTCTAAAAGGCTGCTCTGGAGCAACAGGTAGTTTTACCTATGGTCTTCTAAAATGTAAGTTTCTCAAAAGACTAGAAGCAAAATTCTAATATCCAAATATGTCCTTAAGGATCATTCTATAAAAACTAAGTGAAATGAATCTTATATAGAGATGGCCTATCGGAGATGAGAAAAATAGTTGGCTAGGATTTCTGTACCAGCCTTGGTTATTTAAAATGCCTTGTCTTGGCTGGTGTAGCTCATTTGATTGGGCATCATCCCATACACCAAAATGTTGCTGGTTCGATTCCCAGTTAGGGCACATGCCCAGGTTGCAGGCTTAATCCCCAGTAGAAAGTGTGAAGGAGGCAACCAATCAATGTTCTGCTCTCACATCAATGTTTCTCTCTCTCTCTTCCCCCTCTTTCTAAAAATTAATGAAGAATCTTAAAAATTAGCCCTAACCAGTTTGGCTCAGGGGATAGAGCATCAGCCTACGGACTAAAAAGTCCCAAGTTTGATTCCGGTCAAGGATATGTACTTTGGTTGCAGGCATATCCCCAGTAGGAGGTGTTCAGGAGGCAGCTGATCGAAGGTTCTCTCTCATCAATGTTTCTAACTTTCTACACCTTTCCCTTCCTCTCTGTAAAAAAAAAAAAAAAAAAAAAAAAAAAAAAAAAAAATCAATCAATATATATTTTTAAAATCTTAAAAATAAAATAAAATGAATACTGCCCTGTAGTAATCCCTGTAGAGTGTTGTGAATCTGCATCAGCTAGTGATACATAGATATACCAAGTCATCACAATGAACCGGTTACATGCTTTTGCACTTCCAGACAACCGCAACATTACAAAATAGCATCATGGAGTAGTTCTTGCATAAAGTAGGTGCTTAATAACTGTCTACATAGATATTTAATGCAGTGCCCTGGTAGAATAAGTCAAAATGTTTACTAGTTGTTAAACAAAAGCACGTACCGATCTAAAATAACTTCCATTAAAAAGTAAAAACTGTATTGCATTGTTTTGCTGATAAAATATTTCAGAGGTTAGGCTTACATAAATTCAACTGCTAAGGTAGCCAATGATTTTACCATTTAGAATATGGTAAGGAAGTACTAGTGGGAGAAAGAGACAGAAAGACAAAGCAGAAAAGTCAAATTGAGAAAGAAAAGAATATTAGATGGAAAGTGGTAAGTAAAACCATGCGTAGTAGTTGACATACCTGCTGCATGTATAGGCGTTCTCTTCAAAATGTGATCTTTTACTAAGATTGAGGCTCCCTGATTGATGAGCACATCCACACACTCAACATGGCCCTTAAATGCTGCAAGATCTAAGGGTGTTCTTCCGCTACTATTTCGCACATCAAGATCTAACAAAGACTGTACCAACACTTCCAGTGCTTGATGGTGACCATGATAGGCCTAGGAATAAAAATAAATACATACATATATACATATATATTTAGACTGACTTTCCAGATACTTTAGAAAACATAAAGAAGCAAGCAAACTTGTCTTCACATTATTACCATATTTGAGATAATCCAAAGTTTCAGTATTTAGAATTCAGAATGTTAACTATAACTTTTAAAACAACAAAATAGGCTATCATGTTAAGAAATGAGTATTCTGCAAATAAAAATTCAAAAGATATATGATGTTTTCATGAGTCTACAATGTCCGGTTAATGGCAGACATTCAATGGATATGTGACATGGATTCAATTAAAGCTTTCATTCTAAATCTATTCAGATCCCAAAGTCTGATTTTTCAGTCACAGTTCAGTCTTCTTCTAACTCCCTGGTAAAATTTCACTATACTTAAATTACAGAGACAGCCTGTAACTGAAGTTAAGCTAGTACTTGAGTTTTCTGATTTCTCAAATGAAAATGACTTCTCTTTCTACTGAATAATATGCCCTATATCAAAAATAAGCGTTTCTTGCCGAAACCGGTTTGACTCAGTGGTAGAGCGTCGGTCTGTGGACTGAAAGGTCCTGGGTTCGATTCCGGTCGGGGGCATGTACCTTGGTTGCGGGCACATCCCCGGTAGGGGGTGTGCAAGAGGCAGCTGGTCGATGTTTCTCTCTCATCGACATTTCTAGCTCTCTATCTCTCTCCCTTCCTCTCTGTAAAAACATCAATAAAATATATTTTAAAAAAATAAATAAATAAAAATAAACGTTTCTTTTAGCATAAAAATACATAGGCTGAGCCCTGTTTGAATGACTGCCATGTGCTAGGCATTGTCTAGGAGTACAACAGAGTAACATGATTTAAAAATTTGTCAGATTGAAGCTCTGCTTTTTTATACAGTCTGATAAAAAAGCTTTCCAGATAATTCATTTAAAAAAACAACACGTCAACTGAACATTTATTATTCTCATTGAACTAAATGTTGAGCAGGACATAAAGCAGTTACAAGACACAGTTCTAACACCAAAGGAATGTTCTCTCTAGTTCACTGACATGGCCACTTTGTAGCTAAGGGCCTTTCAGAAGTTATTAGCAGGTGGGTAAATTATCACTTTTGAATTTTTCACTGGGAATGGAAAAACACAAAATTCTACCATACTTGAGCTAAATCTCACTTGCTCCCAATATGAAAGAAGATACACAGCTAAGAGAGGGCCCCACACTGCATCAAAGGGCTATAAAGCCATTTCTTGTGGAAAATGTCAGGAAGTACCAGCAAGAGTAAAGGTGCTCTAGGCCTTACTGATCTCTTTGACGTTTCTGACTATCTCAAAGGTTCAAGTGACTGGAGATTACTGAACTTTACTGTCTTAGAACACATCCAACCTTGTTCCTCATCAGGTCATCGAAATTATGCTACTAAATGAATGGACTTTGAGCAACACGGTTTATGCAGAAGATAATAAGAGGAGAGAAAATAAGGATGACTAGGAGCCATGATGATTTGCCAAAGAGGTTTTTCCTTCATGATATTCTTCCATAGGATGGAGACTTGTATGTTTACTATGTATGTGTGAAGACAGGAACCAAGATCAATTTCACTAAGTCGCAAGCCACTGTGTTTTCACTGTCAAGCTGTCCTAGATTAGAAGAGTTTGGAAGGGAAAAAAACCCACTTAAGTAATTTCTGAAACCTCCCAGAAATAGATACAAGTACAGAAGTGGTGGCATAACCACATTTCATTATGCCCAGTTACTAAATTATAAAATTATTCTCATTCCAGTTTAAAACACTATTTAGCACACATGTTCTTAGCATCACTATTCACAATAGCCATAAAATAAAAAACTAGTAAACAACAACAACAAAAACTATAGTTTTTGAGATAACTATTCAAGACTTGCCCAAGTGCTTAGTCTGGCATCTAATATGTGCTCAAGAAACGACAGTACTATCATTTTAAGAATGATGATGACGATGATGCAAGAAGAATTGCCTAGTTATCTGCTCATACTTCATTTCTTGCTACCAATTATAAAACAGCTATTTTCTCCATGCTGGCTTTGTCCTCTAGATGACTTATTTACTATGCAAGTCAGAAGAGCAGATAATATTTCCAAAGACCCAAAGGGCAAGGAAGCAGAAAGCTTCGGCATGACTTCTTAGTTATGTAGAACATGGCAGGAAGTGGGGAGAAAGACACTGCAGAAAAGTCAATGTGCACATATCAGTGCTAAGAAATATGCAAGGAGATCAGGATGAATTTAACAGTCTATATGAGAAGAACAAATTAAGTGGATTACTGAACTTGGAGTGATCCACATTAGCTTATGTAGTACCACTGTAAACATTTTACTATACTTAAAATCAGAGGTCTCACAAATACCTGGTGAAACCCAAGTCTCCTGATTCCTAAAGTTCCCACTCTTCCTTCAACTGTAACATGTTTGTTTCAAAAATAAATTCTTCCTTTAGCACAGAAAGAATTAGATTGAGCTCTGCTTAAAATTTCCTAAGGTAATTTATTCCCATATTTGACTTAAAGAATAGCCACACTCTCTCCTTTTTCCTCTTAGTGACTGACATTAGAGGAAAACTTCAGAGGCATCCTAAACTAAAAGAGATAGCATATGGCTAAATCCTATAACACAAGCAATCGAAAGATCAGTGAACACATACCCAGTCAGCATCCCCAGGACACAATGTAAGCAAAAGTTACAGAAACACCACAGAAATTATAGCTCTTATACCATGTGCTCAGAGAGTTAGGAGCCATTCTACTATGACAGTGCAGTTTTAAATTCACATTAAAACTGCATGTTCTCTCCCTAGATTAGGCCTTGGGGAAAACCCAAGAACATTCAAAACAAAACATAAAAGTACATTCAAGAATTCTCTAAATAAGGAAGTTCTTAAAGTTTTAATTCCATGATGATCATTACATGGATCAAAAGTTTTGGGTACTAGCTTGAGTTGGCACAGACATGAGGCATTTCCAGTAAACCAGCCATCAAGTTGGCTGTGCAGGCAGTACTACTTACAGCCAAGTGTAAAGGGCTTATTGTTGCTCTATTGTCTGAATCACTGAGCATGTCTGTTCCAGAGGTTTCCATTAACTGAGAAAGAAAAGCATTTTAAATGTCAGAAATGACACTTTTAGATATACTATAGCAGTTATCCCTGTTCCCTCCCGCCACAAGTTAAAATCCATTTCAGAGTATAACTTATACATAAATATGAATTTAAAAATCTCAGACCATCTAGATATATAAAAGCCTAAGTGACATTTATGACCAAACGATGGGAACAACTGGTTGACTAGTCGCTATAACATGCACTTGGGGGCAGATGCTCAATGCAGGAGCTGCCCCTTGGTGGTCAGTGCACTCCCACAGCCAACCTCCTGCAGGCCCTCCCCTGGCCAGCCGGCCCCCATTGGCTCCTGGTGCTAAATCATTCATAGAGACCTGCTTCTAGGTCAGGGTTTCATACGTAGCAGAGCAGCTCCCTCAATGCAATCTACTGAAAGTGAGCCCTTGACACAAGGGTTTGTCTTGCTCCCGTCCTCATGGTGGTGGCATGGTGGTGAGGGAAGAAGGGGAGGAGGGTAGAGGTGGGGAACTATAATATGTGATGGTGGGGTATGATGGCGGCATTGGTGTCTGGCGTCCATTCCTTCTGCGCCTGGCCCCATGACTGTTGCCTTCTCTCCCAACTGCGCTGGGGCCCTCAGTCCCGGGCTGGGATGGGGATCTGAGGTGGGTGGTGGTGGATGTGGCCTGTCTCCCAGCGGGTGTGTGTGTGTGTGTGTGTGTGTGTGTGAAGGCTGGTTCCTTTCTTGCGACTAGCGGCCAACTTCCCACAATCCTTTCCCCGGCCGGCCAACCTCCTGTGATCCCTCCCCTGCCTCCTAAATTTGTGCACTGAGCCTCTAGTTATATTATAAAAACGAAACTCAGCAAGCTTACGGAACAGATCATCGTGAAACAGGCTAAGAGTTTTGAGGGAGACTACAAACTAAGAGCTTGAGGAAAATGTTATTTAATTACCACCAAGTAACAACACCCACTCTTCCTCCCTCCTACTGCATACATGATTTGTATCACTTTCTTTGTTCCCAGAATGTGTAAAATGGGCTATAGTTCTGGTGAGAGCAACTAAATAATTACAATAGTCTGAATAGTAGTGGGTAAATAAAATAATACTTACAACATCTAAAGGAGTTTCACTTGCAATCTGAAATAAAATTTTAAATAAAAAATATTTAGTTTAGGAAGTATCTATACTAATAAAAGAGTAAAATGCTAATTGATTGTACCTTCACGACACCCACCAGGCAATCAGGAGTACGTATGCAAATTAATCCAACAAAGATGACGGGTTAATCTGCATATGCAGGCACTGAGCTACAGGGGGCAGGACACTTGCATCATCGCCATGGCGATGATGTAGACATTCTGCACCACCCCAGCCGCTCTAGGCCTCTAGGCCTCTGAGCAGCCTGGGAAGGTCGAAAGGCAGCTCTGGCCAGAGCGAAGGCAGTGCTGCAGCCAGGGGAAGGAAGGCCCATTCTTGCATGAATCTTCGTGCATTGGGCCTCTAGTTCATACATATAAAAGAGATAAGTCTATATTTACATAGGACTTTGTTAAATTCCATTCTGAGCTGTGCTTCCCTTGCCTCCAAAATTAAGTCTTTTAAATACGCAAATGTATAAACTAATAGACCACAAACCTAGATACATGGTTTTAAGATTTTAGACTCAAGATACCATAGTAACCTCTGGAAATACTTGTTATTTCTGTGGCAGCGTTCTAAATACTGTATTAAATATGTCAATCTCCTTTTTCTATCTTTTATACTCACTCTCCTTGAATTTTACTTCCACTTAAAGGGAAACAATGTTTAATACAATTTACAAGGTAAGTTTAAATAAAGAACCTTTAACTTGAAGCATCTGTTACACAGCTGAGAATCTTTTAACTTGTCCAACCATGGGTGAATGGTGTGTGTATTGAAGGAGACCACAGTTGAAACAAAGTTCCTTTGCAGAATTAGAGCCTCCCTCATCAGGAGGGACTGCTAAAAGAATGGCCTTTCAGAATTCCCTAAATATGGGGGAACTCCCTCCAATGGGGACATTTATTTCTCACTTAAGAGATGGTTATATTTCTTTAGAAACAATGGAAACATTTACTTAGGAGCCATAACGGGCATAGCTCAATGGATAGTGTGTTGGCCTGCGGACTGAAGAATTGTGAGTTTGATTCTGGTCAGGGCACATGCCTGGGTTGCGGGCTTGATCCCCAGTGAGGGGTGTGCAGGAGGAAGCCGATTGATAATTCTCTCTCATCAATGATGTTTCTATCTCTCTCTTACTTTTCTTTCCTCTCTGAAATCAATAAAAATATATTTCAAAAAAAAAAAAAATAAAGACAGGAGCAGAGGAAGTAAATGATACATAGATATGAGGTAATGTAAGGGAAGAACCTAAGTAGCCCTGTCCAGAGATCTAATTTTGTTCTTTCTGTTTGAAAGGGAAAAGAGAGTGACACATATCTAACTGAGACAAATATGATTTGACAGTTATATGGATTCTAAAAATGTTTAAAAGCAACAGAATTTGTTCATTGATCTATTCATTCTCATCTTCCTTAAATTACTGAAATATAAACTCATATTAGTTGTTCCATAAGAATTTAGAAATCTTACCAGCTGAAGACATAGACGGTGACCATAAGCAGCTGAATAATGAACTGCATTGTATCCTTGCTTATCCCGGATCCCTGGATTTGCATCATTTCTTAGTAAGTATTCTAGGCACCTATTTGCAGAAACAACATATTCAAAATTCTGAATCCTGCCTTTTAACTTAGTGATAAAAACAGACAAAATAAAAACTGACATTTTTCTTACATCTGAGCAATGTAAAGACATAAATACACTTAAACAGTAATTTAAATAACATTGACTATAAGTTTCATAAAAATATAAACTAAATGTTCCTAAGAGAATTTCCTTCATTCAAAGCGAATAACTCCCAAGTCTGACAGCAAGCGCAGTACACTGAAGGGCTGTCTTTTACAGTCACAACCTATGGGACCACCTGCTCCCCTCACACAACATCTGATGTGATTAAAGTCTTAAGTGGTGGTGAGCATCCTATGTTGGCAAATATTACTGCTCACCTCTCTGGAACACAGGGTGAGCATAATATCTCATTAGGACACTCAAAAAAGGATGCAAGGAAATCTCACAAAATGCATTTGAGAATTTAATGATCTTGAATCAGAAGACTGAGAAGGGTGTAAACAGTGTAAAATTGGTATGCAAGTGACAAGAAAGACCTTCCCATGGGAGAAATACTTAATTTCTATGCTATTAAAATATGAGAAAACTAATTTTAAAATGCACTATATGATTCACACTTTGTTGTAATTTTATTGTCATTGTAGCACAAAATAAAAAAGAGTACTAAATTAGAAATTAAATGATTTGTCTCTAGAGCTGATCTGACACCAGTGATCTTGGGTAAATCACTTCATCTTTACAATGAAACTAGAGGCCTGGTGCAAGGATTCATGCATGGGTGGGGTCCCTTGGCTTGGCCTGTGGGAATCGGGCTGAAACCAGCTCTCCAACATCCCCGATGGGTCCCAGATTGTGAAAGAGTGATTCTCAGGTGACCCCGGAATCGGGCTCCCTCCTCTCTGATTCTGGGTGCATCACCCAAGAACTGCAGCCACCAAGTCACAGCAGCTCGGCAGTTCCTGCACTGAGCGTCTGCCCCTGGTGGTCATTGCATATCATAGCTACCCGTCAGATGGTTGAACTGTTGGGTGATTGCTTAGGCTTTTATATATATAGATGGCCTCTGTTTATTCATTTGATAGATGGGGGTGGGAATCCAACTAAATAATTTAAATTCTATTCATGATCACATTACAAATCCATAATTATTCAGTGATAATTTGTCTTATATTGCAATATGACTAAATATAAGACAAATCTGTAAGCAAATACTTTTTAAAAATTAAAGTTTACAAAAGCACATAAAACAAGAAGGAATTCTGAAGCAATGTAATTCATTTTCAGTAACTATCATATATATGTATCGATATATAACTACTATTAAGGAGTAATTTTTGGCTAGAATATGGTGAAGAAAGGACTAACCTCAGGTCTTCTCTTCACCTAGTGTTCTTTCCACGCCTCTAAATGCTTTAGCACAAGGGTGAATGACTTAGTGAGACTTTAACCTGGGTGTTTCTAAAATACTGAATCACAAAATTATTTGACCTTGAAAAATCTGGACCTCACTTTTAATTTGCAAATAAAGTGGAAGGGAGAGATTCTCTTTTAATTTACTTTTTCTGATTATAAGTTAACATATGTTCATTTTATAAAACTCAGAAAATTAAGAAATGAAGACTTATACAATCTCAATCCTTCCCCTAAAATAAATTACGTATGCAAAATATGAAGGAATTATTTATGACTAAATAACTACGTAATAAACTATAATTACTGTTATAATTTAACATATTAGACAAATTAATTATTCTCATCTCAGTTAAGCACATAATCTAAATCAGATTATGTGCTTAACTGAGATGAGAATAATTAATTTGAAATATTAGAAATTATTTCTCCTACTCTTCCCCTAGCACCCAAGAACTTCTCACACTTTAAGATTTGAAGGATAGTGATATTCCAATTTCACAGCCCAATCTTCTGGTAGCATTGCCCATGAATCTCTTCTCTTCCCCTTCCCCTATGGTATCTCAAGACTACTGCCTTTGAAAGTCAGGTAGAAAAAAAAACATGAGGGTGATATTAAGATGTGTTTTTGAAAGTGACCTTTATCTTTCTTCTACCACCTCAGTCAATAGGAAAGTTATTATTATACTGAAATAGATAAAAATAACTATAATTAAGAAATCACTATGAAACCAATTTATTTCCCACACTAGAGACTTAGGGAAAGACAATCAACGCCAAGAAGTCCAAAAAGGAAATATAAATCTGCAATAAAAATAGCCACGGATTATGGCAGACGCCATTCTATGGGAGCGACAATCCTTTATTCTCACCACATGACACTTACTTGCCATCTGTGTCTGATGTAGCTGCATAGTGCAGGGGTGTGCATCCTCTTTCATCAAGGTCGTTCACACTGGCTCCTGATCCCACAAGAGCAAACAGGCACTGGTAATTGCAGTTGGCAGCAGCATAGTGCAGTGGAGATCTTTTGTGCCCAAGTTAATATAAGAAAAATAAAAGTCAGGGGAGCATAGAGGAGTACACAAGAACACACTGGACTCTTCTTACTCCACTCAGTTACTAATATTGTATTTATAAAGAGCCTGAAATTGATTTCTGCCATAAACTAAGTCTTTTGGAGAGCTGGGCAGAAAGCCTAAGAGGAGAAAAGGCATCAGAAAACCTCTAAGAATATAAAATTAAAAACACAGTTAAATGATTTCATGTTCTCTGGAAATTACAATTTCAGTCTTTTGAGTGAATTATAGTCACCCTCCATATTCTGTTCAGAAATTTGGTAACTTTTATTTTAACAAAACTTTCCTTATACTAAAAAATAACTATTAGTTATTGTTTACTGAGAGTCAGTTCTATTTGATACTAAACTGTGTATTCCCATTTTTGTTATACAACTCAATAAAACATTACACAAATTGATGAAAACAATGCTTCATAGTAAGAGGCAGTAGCTTTTATTCATGTCTCAGTAGAATAAAAGAGAAAACAGAGGAGCATTAAAAACAGTGCTAAATTATATCCACTATATGGTAGAGCTACAAAGTAATATCAGATTTTAGAAGCCAAAATTACATAGTTTTGAAGACTGTTTATTATTCAGAAGAGTTAGAGCACTGTTCTAATTTCTAAAGACTGAATATTCATAGCCTATTTCTTTCCAGTTACTGAAATGAAACAGTATGTTACTAAATTTAGGAATCCATGTCTTTGGTTTACAAAGCTATGATTCCATGACTTTTCATTAAGAAAGAAGAAGAAAAGGAAGGAGGACGAAGAGTAGGAGAAAAGATAAAATTTAGTCCAATCTTCATGCTATATTTTTTATAAAACATTTACCAAGGGAAGCAACAGTGAAACATTATTTACTGGATAATGGTATAGCATATTAATAGTATTTTAAAAAATGTAATTAACCCTGAATTACTTTCAAGCTTCTATTCTCAGAACCTGCTTTCGAAGCTCTATTTGTAATATAGAATGATTTAAGTGTTATGAATTAACTATGGACTGAAGTGTAATTATCAAAACAAATTCACTATAAAAATATGGCATTCCAAAGCCAAACAGTGATTTTTTATTTTGCAGGTGATTAGTTCATTAGCAGATTTATGAGAGCCGTATGTCCTTCAAAGTAATTATAAGGACAGACAATTTTTTCTCTTTCTTTTTTTTTTTCTTAAATATTTTATTAATTTTTTACAGAGAGGAAGGAAGAGGGATAGAGTTAGAAACATCAATCAGCTGCCTCCTGCCCACCCCTACTGGGGATATGCCTGCAACCAAGGTACATGCCCTTGACCGGAATCGAACCTGGGACCTTTTAGTCTGCAGGCCGATGCTATCCACTGAGCCAAACCGGTTTCGGCAGTTTTTTCTTTTCTTTTAATAAGTCTTTATTGTTCAGATTATTACAGGTTTTTCCCCCTCCTACCCCCCGCCCCCCGCAATAGCTCCCCTCCACTGATTCCCAACCCCACCCCATGCCCTTACCCCCGCCACTGTCTTCATCCATAAGTGTAAGATTTTTGTCCAATCTCTTCCTGCATCCCTCAGACCCTCCTCCCCCTGAGAATTGTTAGTCCAATCCCTTCCTATGTCCTGATTCTATTGTATTCACCAATCCATTTTGTTCTTCAGATTTTTTATTCACTTGATTTTTAGATTCACTTGTTGGTAGGTATGTATTTGATGTCGTTTTGTTGTTCATAATAATTTACCTTTACCTTTTTCTTCTTCCTCTTCTTAAAGAATACCCTTCAACATTTCATGTAATCCTGGTTTGGTGCTGATGAACTTCTTTAACTTTTTTTTGGTAGAAGCCAGTTAGAAGGTCAAGCAGGTCACTGAGTAAATAACATTAATTAGGCCCTATAGAAGAACTTTAACACACCTTACCTCCCAAATTTGTCCTTTTTGTTGAAGTCTGCACCAGTATTCAGCAGAAGGTTTAGGCACTCCAAATTTCTATCCAGGAAAAAATAGAAGACTTAATTGTCAGTAATCTAATAATGAAATTGGTAGGTTTAAATATGCATAAAAACATGTTTTCAAATGAGAGTAAAGTGAATAATATGGCATGATTTATATTTTATGAATGAAAACATTAAAATTCATCTTATCTGAAATTTAAAAAGTTATATACAGACATACTGCACATTGATAGGAAATAACGAATGAATCCTGTTGTCACTATTTAAAAGGAAGTTCACATTTGTAAGAGTGTCTAAAGAGTTAAGAGCCTTTAAATAAACTTCAAGCAACATGCTTAGAATTAAATGGTGTACATTTAAGTGTTTTTTAAGACTAAATTAAATTAAAAAGGGTTACAAAAACCAAACCTGAAAACATAATGTCCCAAATTAGCTTTTCTTTGCTTACTTAAATGCATCCTTAGTTAAAATATAGGAGAATAGATTACATGCGTGGGTATTTATAAAATTTAATTTTTATAAACCTGAACATCAACTTGCTATTTCTATGAAAATTGTAACTGCCAAACAATCAGACATTCATGTTGTCTGTTGTCTCTCTCTCTGTAGGCAAGCAACATGGATGCCAGGTTTTAACTGGAAGGTTCTTTGGTGACAATGGAAGAACAAGAGGACCCAAGTCACATGTTTACAATCCATCTCTACAACTGAGACTGGCCTAGTGGTAGTATTGGTTCAACACACTTTGAAATCACCAGTAATAGTTAAGGAATTATTACTGGAAATAAAATTCTTGCAAATGTCTTCTTGATAAAGTTATCAAGAATTAAACAGCTTATCACAACATTAGGGTCTAGATTATCAAAAGCATTAGATTAGCATTATGCTTCAGGGACCAAGGACTTGTATTCCCCCCTAAAATGCTTTCATTGATTGCAGAGAGAGGTAGAAATATCAATGATGAAAAAGAATCATTGATCGGCTGCCCCCTGCATACCTCCCTAAAGGGGATTGAGCCTGCAACCCAGGGAATGTGCCCTGATTGGGAGGTGAACTGTGACCTCCTGGTTCACAGATTGATACTCAATTTAATGGTCATGCGGGACCAAGAGTTTTAATTGAAGTTTGTTGTTCATTCAAACCAATTGTCTAATTTCCCCTACTAGTAGTAATTAATATTCAAAACTCAGTCCAAAATATTTCAATTTCAAATTTTCCATTTCATATGTACTATTCCTGAGTAGAAGCAAGACATAAATAAGCTATTAACACTTCCCATGCCCCAAAATTATAATTAAAAATTCCTCAACAACTTCTGAAAGAATAGTAGTATTAGTTAAAATACTCTCAATGTTTTAATGCTCTCATTGGAAGAAATGTATTTTTCATTTACCCGGAAAGCTTTCTCTTATAAAAAGCAATAACTTTCTTTTATAAGTTTATTCTCTCTCTCCTACTCACAATTTATGACTTAGGTGGATAAAGATTTAAGAAGCAATTTCTACTACTCTGGACTTTCTTCTCCCAAACCACTCCTGCCACGTTTTCTATTTTGTAGTAGTCTAAAACTAATAAAGAGAAACAAAGGGAAAACTGCCATGACCAGCGACCTTTTTCTAAAAATAGTAACTGTTTTATTAACATACCCTCCAGCTGCAGCTGCATGGAGACAGGTCCTACCGAAATCATCTGCAGTATCTATGTCAAATCCTACAAGAAAAAAGACATTTTTACATGTTATATAATGTTATAGATACATTACTTAGATTATAGTATTTTATCAAAAAATGTCATGAGCCACACATCCCCAATCTTAAAAACTATGAATTGTAGTTACAAAATTATGGAAAAAATAGATTAATAATGTACAATATTACAACAAAATTACTACTAAAAAACAGGATTTTAGGATCAGTGCTTGAGTTCTTATTTAAGAACTATAGACATCTAATACTAATATTACTGTATTGCATGTTGATTGTAATTGGGAAAAAACTACACCAAAACAAATACAAATAAAAACCACAGAATACAATGAACTATTATTCAGCAATAAAGGAAAATAAAGTATTTAAAAAATATATATTTTACAGAGAGGAAGAGTTAGAAACTCTTCAGAGAGATAGAGTTAGAAACATCGATGGGAGAGAAATATCGATTCAGCTGCCTTCTGCACACCTCCTACTGCCCGCAACCAATGTACATGCCCTTGACCGGAATTGAACCTGGGACCCCTCTATCCACTGAGCCAAACTGGTTTTGGCAATATGCTAATTTTCATTGAAACTTTCCCATAATCCTTTTAGCAATCATGAGTATTAATTTACAAAATCTGTTCAATTTTCTTAACACTCTGAGAAATATAATCAATTCAAACTTATATATTCAGTAATTCTATGCATTTAATAAAGACCACAGTTTTATAGTAATATTTATAAAAAGCTTTTCTATTTTGTTTGAAACTGACTATGATTGTGGTAGTAATTAATGACATAAATAATTTCACAAACCTAGAGGATATTGTATGATAGAAATTAGCTTTTAAAAAGGAAGCATGCAAATAAAGGTATTTTGCTTTTAGACATAATGGAACAATCCCAGAAGATGGTTACCCTTCAATGAACAGAAGCTGCTTTAGAAATACTCCACATCCCATTCCTAACTAACAGAGAGAAGGAAATTTCTGAAAAAATAAAAACTTTTCCAGAGATGAAGAGAAACCTTCAAATTGAACCTTAAAATTAAAGGACCCAACATTTTCTAAGAGGGGTTAATAAAAGATTCACATTTGGAGATACTATATGTAATTTTCAAAGAACAAAGAAATTGTATTAAATGGGGGTAGGAGATGAAATAATTAGTTTACAAAAGTCCCACTCACCAGAAGAAAGGAGTTTCCTGCAGCAATCTGAAAAACCACTCAAGGCTGCCAAATGGAGGGGGAACATTCCATGTATGCCACGCCTGAAATAAACCGGACAGTACTCTCATTACAATGCAAGAAGACGACAATCACTTAAATAAATTATTTAAAGAGAAAAGACACGTGAGTCAAAAATCTTAACACCTTGGAGAGCAATTTAGCAATAGGTTAAAGGTGGGCATAACTTATTATTCAGCAATTTTCCTCAGAGTAAGGTTTTTTTAACCACAGCACTACTGTCATTATAAGCTTTGTGTGTGTACATATGTATGTGTGTTTGTGGGGCCATCCTGTGCATGTAGGATGTTCAGCAGTGCCCATGTATACTACCTACATTACACTATATGCCAGAAATATTCTCCTCTCAAAATTATGACAACCAAAAATATCTATACTAATAAAAGGGTAATATGCTAATTAGACCAGACATCTTCTGGACGTCCTTTCGGACAAAGCCACAGTGGCAGGGGATGAGGCAGAGGCAGTTAGGGGCAATCAGGACAGCAGGGGAGCAGTTAGGGGTCAATCAGGCCAGCAGGCAGAGGAGGTTAGAGGCAATCAGGCAGGAGAGTGGTTAGGAGCCAGTGGTCCCAGATTGCAAGAGGGGACCCAGACTGGATAGGGTGCAAGCTGGGCTGAGAGACCTCTCCCACCCTGCCCCATGCATGAATTTCATGCACCCGGACTCTAGTATTAAAAATAGACCACTAATTAAAAGCTCTAATCCAAACTGCATAGTCTAGAAAGACCTGGGATTAAAAAATATTTAAAAATTCTTTATGCTGGCTTACTAAATGAAATTGTATTATCAAACAATCTATTCTACCATATCGTAAATACAAAAAGGAGAAAAAACCCTCCAGCAATTAGTACAATATCTAATTGAAACCCACAGTTCTAATTGAAATATCTAGGAAAATGCAGTTCACTTCCTTCTGTGTTTCCCTGTCATAGCTATCGACACCTTGGTAAGTACTTACTTTGCAGTGTCAGCACCACTTGTAATAAGAGTGTTGATTAGCAGCTCATGGCCATATCTTGCTGCTATGTGCAAAGGGGTGTTTCCATTTTTATCTTCACAGTCAATTACAGCTCCTGCAATAAAGGACATGCTTTCAGACACTAGACTATATATAAAGATCAAGACAAATCTATTACATAAAAAGCAAGATAAAGAAGATAAAGTTCTATTCAAGCACACGGATGGATTTAACTAGATTTCATTCATAGTACATTGGTCTAGGCACTGGAGTTACAGATTTTATGCTTAAGGGTTCTGGGGTCCAGTAAGTTTGGAAACCATTGTTTTAAAGCGAAATTGAACACATTTCTTTAGAACAAGACTTTTCAGAAAGTTAATGTGGACACTCTCATATTATCAAAAACACTGCATGCAATGCTTCATAAAGTATTTGATCATAAACCTGTTCTTATTTTTCCTCTCCAAAACCATTAGCAGCTGTTATCTTTAACATGGCTTGAAAAATGTACCGCACCTAAAAGTTCTTTTTATTTAAAAGTTTAGCTTGCCTAGTATTAATTCAAATTCGAAAGAACACAAGTTCAAAAAATAAATGAAAGTTCTAAAAATAGTTCAAAATATTAAAAAGGAGAAAAAGATATTTGCACTATACACACACACACACACACACACACACACATCTATATATATCTATATATATCTATATATATCTATATATATCTTTATATAGATATATATAGATATATATACACACACAATGCAGTGGAAAGGCAGAATTTTCTCTTTAGCAATGTTTTTAAAAGGCCAACATTAACTGCTGGAGAAATTAATTTATAATCCAGTGGAAACAACTAAAAATAAATTTAAAAATTACATAAGAAACATATACATGGCTTTTTATTTTATTTGATTTTCAAGAGATCTGACATCAAATATTTAAAATATAGATTGCTATGACAAATCCTTAATACCATTCATTTTGTGGATGTTTTTACTACATTTAAGAAAAAAAACCAAACAGAAATACTTTTTACCACTCTGGATAATGGTTTGTGATCTGGAGAATCTACCGTGGAGGGCAGTCATGTGCAGTGGGGTTTTTCCATCTTTGCTCTGAAATAATCAAACAAACAAAAAAATTAAAATAATTGTTCTATCCATAATATGTAATCCTTAGTTTCATTTAAAATGTTCTCTTATATTTTTATTTTGTATAACTATTACTCAAGCATTAAGTTTAACTGAAGGCTATAGAAGTAAAACAGTTGTTGAAAATTATAAACTAATTTCTTACCATGTGTATTATCAAGCATAAATTATAAAAAAATCAATGTCTATAGTTTATAAAAAGCTCTGCATGGTAGGTAAGTGTAATCTTATTATCATTCCTATCTCATAGGTGGGGAAACTGAAACACAGGATATTAACCAAGCCACATAATTGGGAGTAAGACACAGCCAGGATGTGCTTCCCACATTTCAAAAATTTCACATTGCTCTAATTCTTTCATTTTAAAAAACACTGAATCCCCCCTCAACCAAGGAAAAGTGAAATGTTGTAATTAACCTCAGCCCATAATTCACTTAAGCACTGATATTTTTGTTAGCTATTTCCTCAAATTACTTAAAATAATAAATCAGAATAGATGTGCATGTGTGTATTTAATGTGGAAGTTCTGAAATTCAAAAGGAGTTCTAAATATGAAGAAAAACAATGATTGAATTAGGTAAAATCTTTTCTTCCCCAAAATTATTTAAAAATCAAAACATATACATGACCACCAAAAAAGGAAAGGAATTGTTTTACAATTCTAATCCTTTACAGTATTCAACATACCTTCTGTGTATATAATTATATACCTTCTGTGTATATAATAAGTGTCATAAGTTTACACTACAATTGTATAATGCAGATCTCCTTAAGAAACTCTCATGTCAAAAGTATCTATATAATACCTTGAACAATAAAGATTAAAAGAAGAAAAAAAAAAACCACTCATGCCACTCATTATAATAATGAAGTATTAGATTTATTTTATAAATACCTATTTAGGTATTTGATTCCTTAATTTTATATTCATATTTTCAAGCAAACAAGCCATCCAACTGACAACATTGTGAAAAATTTCTAAATAGAAAAGTTGAAAGAGTATTACAGTGAACACCCATACACATACCACTGAGATTTCAGAGAGGAAGATAGAAACATCAACAATGAGAGAAAACCACGGATCACTGCCTCCCGCATGCCCCCTACTTGAGCCCACAACCCAGGCATGTGCCCTGGCCAGGAATCGAACAGTGACCTCCTGGTTCATAGGTGTTCGACATTCAACCACTGAATCACATCAGCCAGGCTGCTTTTGGTTTTTTAAACTATAGAATCTGAAACACCAAGTAAATGGAATTTCAACTGTTCTAGACCTTACAGAAATGGAAAAAAGTATATATATATATATATATATATATATATATATATATTGTGTGTGTGAGTGTAAGGCTTCACTCAACATATTTTAAAGATTCATCTATGTTCTAGTATCAGTAATTTGTTACTTTTGTTGAGGAGTGATATTTGTTACTGATACTGTTTTAAATAGAGAACTCCTAAATACTACAGTGTGGATTCCAACCGTATTTCCTACCTTCGTATTGACGTCGGCCCCATTGCCCACCAGGAGCTCTAAGCACAGCGCTCCATGTGTTGAGGCAGCAGCAAAGTGCAAAGGAGTAAACCCTTTCTCATTCTTGTGATTTACATTAGCACCACTATCTATAAGTTCATTCACGACAACATCTTGTCCATTATAGCAGGCTACATGGAGAGGTGTATTTCCATAGGCATTTGGTTCATTCATCTATTGGGAGAAAATAAAATGTCAGTGTAAAAGTAGTGTTTCTAACTATCCTTGTTGTGACTTACTTTAACAACATTGTGCTTGCAAGCAAATTATTAAAGTGAGAAACATGGATAAATACACAGATAGGCTTATAATTCTAAACTTCTCTTAAAATAATGAACATTAAAAACAGCATTTTTGTATCAAACAGCATTTTGTACAGAAAATATAATTCACATGTACAATTGTCTACTGCATGACAAAACGGAATGACTCCAGGAGAGATATTTTAGGGAGATATAAACTAAGAACATTTAGAGACATTTAGAGAATTAATTCTAAGAATCATAAAAAAATGAACACAAACGGAAAGTTCTGAGATATTATTGAATAATGTGCTCATGCTTAGCCTTTCGCTTACAGTGACAAAAGATTTAAGTTGGTAAAAAAAAAAAAGAAAAGATTTAAGTTGTTAATGTAATAGATATCAGAATTTTTAAAAAATGAGTGGCATTTTTTTCTTTCAATATATTTTTACAACTTGAGCTCTAGACATTTTCTACTGTTACATATTGACATTTTACCAAAATGAATGTGCTCAAAATATGCTCAATACTGAGAAGTAATTCATGTAACTCAAGCTATTCTTTCTTTTTTCTAATAAATAAAAGGGGCAAAGTCTACATGACTTTTGCATAGTCAAAGAAAAGTCTGGTCTTTGACCGTCTTCTGGGAGGTGATATACAGCATACGTAATAGGAGTATCCTAGTGTAGGGAGGGAGCTGGCTATACTGGATCTTAAACTAGGATTGGCTATAGCTGATGAGTCTTAGGGTCCTTTCTCAGATACATGGTAACAAAATTGGAGGAAGTAAAAATTTAACATGTGACTTTAGTCAAAGTACCTAGATTTAATCACCAAAAGATAAGAGACATGGAATAGATTCTCCCTCAGTCTCCAGAACTTTGAGATTAAATTCATTTCTAAGTCACTCACTTAATGGTAATTTCCTATGGCAGCCATAGGAAACTAAAAAATCATGCAATTAGAGGCTAAACGTCACTAACCAGCTCTAAGTCTGACTACTTATTTCAAAGTGTGAACAAATGTTATTTTACTGTCAAAATAAGCTTTGAAAATTGCATCAGAAAGAAACAGATATCAGAAACCAGGCTGTCTCATTTATCTAGATCAAGAGCCTTTTAAAGCATTATGTTACTGTTGAAAATAGAGGTACAGAAACTGTTGAGATGCCTAAAAATGTATTTTGATTTCTGTGACTTTTCAAGATCTCCACACTTTAGTAATTACTTGTTTGCTCTAGGCAAAGTGCTTCCCACAGTCCTTAAATTAAGTCTATTGAGCTCTACAGTCACCATGTATTATTTGCCCAACCAGAAGACTACTACCTACCTTTTTCCTGTCTGATCTAAACTGCCTTCCTCTAGCACAGACTTACCTTCTCTCCAAATTGGCTGCTTTTAAAATCTATGTTTTAAGAACCAGATGAGGTTGTCAGAACTGTTCTTAAAATTAGAGTAATTATATTCTTGGGTAAAAAGCACTACTGCTTAAAAGGATGGCCTGTGAAAGCTACAGGTATTCTCAGCTATAATTCCAGGATCAAATATATTCAGATAAAGCAGCACCCTTCCTAACCAAATATTTATTATTGATCGGCAAGAAACTCTAGTTTTCCTGCCTAGCTCTTGCCAATATCCTGTAATGTGAACTGCTACAGTCATTTAAAGGGAATATTAGACTAAGTGGGCAAATAAGACTAACCATAACCTTCCCACTTAGAAAAAATAATTCACGTATTTCTGATCTGCTGGTTTTCATGGCTGAAATGGAGCTACAGAGTCTGGAATACGATGGAAAAATAAAAACTTGTCATTTGAACATTCACCTTTGAAATATATTTTACCTCTTCATCTACTTTGACTCATCAGTTATCAGTGCACTATATATTATGTAAAGGACTATAATTATACCTGGTTAAAAGACATAAAGATTATTGTATAAAATCATATTTTCAAATCTGAAGTAACTCCCACTAATAGTAAAATTACGAACATACAAAATTCTTTACTCCTTTATAATACTGTCTATAGACCTACATCAACTCCAAGGTCTAAAAGGTACTTGACTATGCTGATCATTCCACTAGAGGCTGCAGCATGAAGAGGTGTGTAAGACTTCTTATCCTTGCACGTCACTTCAGCTCCGTGTGACACAAGTAATTTCACTACTTCAATGTGACCTGAAAATGTGTTTATGAAGAAAAAGTAAATAGATCAGCATATGAAAAATATGAATAGAATCCTGAACATCTTTAAAGGAGGGTAAAAATGCAAATTAACTAGATAATGCATGACAAGTTACCAATAAATCACATTATAACCAGAGACAGAATGGAAGAAAAAGATAAAGAATTCAGGACACTTTAAAAAACACACACACACTTATTTTTAAAATATATTTTTATTGGTTTTAGAGGAAGGGAGAGGGAGATAGAAACATCAATGATAAGAGAATCATTGATCGGCTGCCTCCTGCACGCTCCCTACTGGGGATCGAGCCTGGAACCTGGGCATGTGCCCTTGACTAGAATCAAACCTGGGACCCTTCAGTCCACAGGCTGACGCTCTATCCACTGAGCCAAACCAGCTAGAGCCAGCATACTTTTAAATAAATGTTGACAGAGGTAATAATTATAAAAACATTTAATTTTACTAAATCCAATGATAACCCGGCAATCTTTAATTCTTCTTTTGCCTAGACTTTGTTGATTTCAAGGTTGTTTTAATGCTTTTTCAAATTCTGAGGTTAACTTTTTATGTTTAGTGTAAGACATTAATTTATGTTTCTCTTCCTTAGTAAAATCTTCTACTTGGAAAGTTGGAAGTGACTTGAGGTTGTTTCTTAAGAATGCTAGGTATTTAAAACATGCAGCTAAAAATCTCTTTTCCTCTGGTATGTCCACAAGATGTTCTTAATCAACTTAGTTTGTTACTCAGCCATGTATCAAATGGGATAGGCTAGATTACATATACTGCATTTAATAATCAACTCCCAAATCTCAGTAGCTTAATTAGTGTTTTATTTCTCATTAAGACTATAATAGCTTGGCAAGAGAGCTCTTCTCAGTCATTTAAGCTCCTAGGCTGATGCAGCTGACCCCATTTTGAAGGTGGTTGGTCACTGTGCCAGAGGGGCAATAAGCTGCAGAGTCACAGAGGTGATGCTGCTTTCAATTCATTAGTCAGAACTAGTCTCAGCACCACCCAACCACACATGGAGGCCAAGAAGGGAACATGGATCTGAAAGATGGGAGAACCACTATTCTTTTATATCTTCTCAAATTTAATCAGATTAGATTATACAGTGCCTTCTCCTTTCATTTTCCTTCCCGCCTTTGTGCCTCTGTTCCTGGGATTCCTTCATTGTGTGGAATGTTCTGCTTGGATGTCTCTTTTCACACATTGCTATTACTAACCCTTAAGGCCATGTCAGTTCCCATCTTCCCTGACCATCCACCTCTCTTACCCAGAAGCCCTTTCAGCCCAAAGCACCATGTATCTGTAAGTACCATCTAATAAGCATATAATATCTTGTAAGGTTTCTTAAATTTGAATAAGTATTTAACTCTTTAATTGCTTTTATGTATTAGCTTCCCAAATATCTATCTTAAGGGGAAAATACTGAATGCTCTTATGTTTTACTTCTTGCTATATTTCATGGGGCTGAGAACAGTGTTATATACAAAATAGGCACCCAATAATTATTTGTTACATTAAATAAACTGCTCATGATCTTGGTTTTTATATTCCTTCACAAGAACTATTAATTAATAACTGTAAAACTGAAGCTTTCAAACATAGGCCCCCTCTCTTAACAAAATTAGGTAAGCATATAACAAGACACACAGGGTCAAGTAGATTTAGTTGTTTATATATAAATTATCAATTAAAGTGAATACTTTCACTTATTCTTTTCTCTTTTTCAATATGAAAAAAAATTTTAATGATATTTTTAGGGAAAAAAAATAACAATTACGTGCCAAATTACATGTGACTATCATATAAGAGTATTAACTGGTACAAAAGATCCCTCACTACACATTACTTTCTAATCCATGGCCCTAGAAAGACAGTTGCTTGATTTTATTGTAAAGCAATGAAAATCAGAACTTACAACATCCAGGATATGCAAACATAAACAGTTTTAAAAATATATATTTTTTTATTGTTTCAGAGAGGAGGTAGAGGGATAGAGAGAAAGAAACACCAATGATGAGAGAGAAACACTGATTGGCTGCTTCCTGTACGCCCCCTACTAGCAATTGAGCCTGCAACCCAGCACCATGGCCTTAACCAGAATTGAATCTGGGACCCTTCAGTATGCAGGCCAATGCTCTCTCCACTGAGCCAAACCAGCTACAGCCAGCTTAGAGGTAACTTATTTAAAAGAAAAAAGGAAAGAAAGTTCTAGAGTGAAATAAGTGGTACTGTTTTAGCTGGGTGAACCCTCTGCCTTCAAGTATGTGTTTTTCTTGTCAATTACAGAATGATGCTACCAATGGGATTAGACGTCATTTAATTCATCAACGTGTATTTTAAAAAATGGCATCCATTTATCATGTACAGTATCCATAATTCAGTAGTCAACAACATCCTTTTAAAAAATTATATCTCTGCAATGTGAATTTGATAAATATTATCACTACTAGAGGCCTGGTGCACGAAATTCGTGCATGGAGGAAGTGTCCCTCAGCCAAGCCTGCACCCTCTCCAATCTGCGACCCCTAAATGGGCGGTGGGATATCCCTCTCACAATCCAGGACTGCTGGCTCCCAACTGTTTGCCTGTCTGCCTTCCTGATTGCCCCTAACCACTTCTGCCTGCCAGTCTGATCACTCCCTAACCACTGCCCTGCCAGCCTGATTGATGTCTAACTGCTCCCCTGCCAGCCTGTTTGCTCCCAACTTCCCTCCCCTGCAGGCTTGATTGCCCCCAACTGCCCTCCTTTGAAGGCCTGGTCCCTCCCAACTGCCCTCCCCTGCTGGCCATCTTGTGGCCATCTTGTTTCCACATGGGGGCAGGATCTTTGACCACATAGGGGCAGCTCTTGATCTTTTGTGTTGAAGTGATGGTCAATCTGTATATTACTCTTTTATTAGATAGGATAGAGGCCTGGTTGCAAGAGTGGGGCCAGCTGGTTTGCCCTGTAGGGTGTCCAGGATCAGGGAGGGGGTTCCCTTGGTGCATGGGGCGGCATGGGCGAGAGGCCTGTAACCATGCCCTCCAGCGATCCAAGTGGAGGCCCTGGTATCTGGAATATATTTATCTTCTACAATGGAAATTTTGTAGCCTCAAAAGCTAGCTCAGTGGTGGCAGCCATTTCTGTTGGAGTTTATTCGCTTTCTATAATTGAAACTTTGTAGCCTGGAATGGAGGCCTAGGTGGGCCAGAGCAGGTGGAAAGCTTGGCTTCCTTTATTGCCAGGAGCAACCCTAGCCTGTTCTCTCCAGCTCCGAGGCTGCTGCCATTTTCCTTGGGATTTATGATCTTCTATAATTGAAACTTTGTATCCTTGAGTGGAGGCCTGGGCTGGCCAGGGTGTGTGGAAAGTTTGGCTTCCTCCATAGTCAGGGAAACAAAAGCCTCCCTCCTCCTCTCTGTGGCGGCAGCCATCTTGGTTGGGGTTAATTTACATACTCACACTAATTGGCTGGTGGGCATGGTTTTTGGGTGTAGCAGAGTGGTGGTTAATTTGCATATTACTCTTTTATTAGGTAGGATATTTCAGGAATTTTGAAAATGTCCTACTTTTTCTTCTGTTCTTCACGAATGTATAAGAAAAGTAAAATGAGCTATGCCTAGAATTTATAAGTTTTTATGAAAAGAAAAGGAGGGAGAAAAAAAAATGTCATTTTAAATTCATTCAAATTATGCATTGCTTGAAGAAGAAATAATGAGTTGCTAATCAAGGTAATTAATATTTATTCAGTACCTTTTATGTCTGTCATCATGGTAAGGTGACCTGAGGTAGAGCTTGGTTGGATATTGCTAAAAGTACTGAAAGCAATAGAAAAGATGAATGCTTAAAAGGGATTTTAAATGAAGGTTCGCGGTAGAAGCAAAAATGGGGTAGGGAATGTTAAATGATCAATTCATTCTGGGGACAGAGGTGGGACAGGGGAACACTTGACAGAGAACTCAATAATATCATAGGGTAAGAATAGACCCTAACAGAAAAGTAAGGGAAGCATCAACCAGGAGGTAAGAAGGCCAGGACAAACAAGAACGCCTGTGGGAAATAAATTATGTAAGATTAATACCTATAATCCTAATGTCTCTTATCCCAATATTGACAGATTTTCTGAATATAACCTGGAGGTGACAATGTCCTGGACTTAAGCTTGCTATTAGGTTGAGAGCTCCCTACTTTCATGTTTAGCTCTCTTAATCCTGATGCCTAGAACAGCTGAATAATTTTAGAAACAATGTGTCAATACTCCTTTCCATGCTAAAAGGAAGAGACAGGGAAAAAAGAATTATGAATTTCTGAATGTTTATGCTAAAAAATTAAATGGACAGTGAGGTCCAAAAAACACAGAATACCTTTTTCTACTCACAATTGGCCTGAAAAGTGAGATATTTAGGACATCAAGGAAAACAAAGACATCTCAGGGCCAGTAATATACACACATTCAGCTTTTCTGGGAGCTCCATTTTAGAGATAACCTATAAAATCCCCTGGCTTTCAATTTCATGGGAACAGCTGTTAGTCAAGTTCAATTCTTTGGAGGTAAAAGGTCTAATGCACTTTGCTTAATGTATAAACCCTTTCACATGAGGTGTAAAATTTAAATCACACAGACTAGCTATTTGTAAGCTGCATTTAAGAATAAGCTACATTAGAATATTCAGAAAAATTTCTAAGATTTAAAATCTGTGGGCTGTGAGGAGGGGAAGTTAGGATGCCATGAAGACCTGCTTCTGGTTGTACATCAAGCATGTCAAACTTGCGACCCACGGGCTGCATGCCTCATTTATTTGGCCCATGTTAGCCTTTGAGTTTGACATGCTTGATGCACACCATCAGTGAACAGAAGAATTACCCATTACATAACCAGAGGCACAAATCTTTGGTATGAGACAAACACCAAAAGACCAAGATTTTCAGCTTTTGGTTTTCAAAATAGGGACCAGATGACAATGATATTAGCCTTCATTTTTTATCTTTCTTTACACCCACACTAATGTTAGACTTGCTATTCAAGATGGATTCTACTGCTTGTGGTTATTTCTACTATAAGCAAAGGATTTTCCTAGACTTTAGGGTTACTGATAACTGGTTTAAGTTGTTTTCTTATATTTTCATATTTCAAAATTTTAAGTTTTAAAATTAATAATCTTCCTCTAAATCTTCCTTTACTCTTTTATTTTTAAATGAAATATAAAAAAAGATAAAACATAGAGCAGAGAGTAATAGGCCTATAAGAAAGGTGACTAGCTAGATGTCAGGTATGTGAATGGTAAATCAGGGAATACCAAATTATACAGAAGATATGTCAGTCCATATACGAGTCTGCCTAAGCCAGAGGAGCAGAACAGTGGAAGCTGAAAGACAGACACCCTTTGGTGGGAAGAGAAAAATCTCTGAGCTCCACAGCTGCAGAGGAAGGAAGAATTCTTTCAGTTCTATTTCAAAAAGCTTTTATCCATGGGTTCTTCCCAGAGGCACAGCCCCAGCCTTGTAGGACTTGCAAGGTTTGTGGCAGGCTGTACTTCCTCCATCTTAGAGATCCACTTTCACCTACAAGACAACATTCTACTCTGCTCTGTCTCTGCATTTTAAAGTACCCTGAGGTATGGTGATCTGCTTCCTCACTGGCTGGCTAAGTTACTTCAAGAGCACAATTAATGATTTTTGTTAGTATTTTGGCCACAAAGTTGCATAAGTTTTGGTAGTCTGTCCCAGGGCTATTTTCTGATGAGCTCTATTAGTTCCTAGATGCAATTTTACAGATCCTAAGATTTTTCCAAAACCACATATATCATGTTACAACAGAAAAGCCTATACGGTTTCTTTCTGTGAAATTACTATTGGTGCCTATTTAACCCAGTGCTTGGCCAAAAATAATAGGCTTCCTAATGCATCTTCATACCTTCTACCTAAATTCCCATAAAAACAAGGATGGGTAGGAGTATGGACTTTTATAAACACTAATTTAAATTATCTCAGGCTTGTGTTTATTATGTTGCTCCCTTCAAAAGTAAAAAGAATTAATTTCAAACAGCTTTCAGGAGAACTGAACCCATGCCCTTCTGTTCTGATAAACCTCCATACTATCAGGCTGGTTCCACTTGCGCATCAAGCAGAAGAACAAAAATGCACAACTTTTCCTGAATACGCAATGTAAAAGAATACATTTTAAAAGTACATACCCATATAAGCTGCCCAATGGATAGCTCGTCTATCTTTTTTGTCAAAAGCATTAATATTGGCACCTCTAGACAGGAGTAGTTTGACCATCTGGAATGACAATAAACACAGTTATCAAAATTCAGAAGTACAACTGTTCATGAATATCCTTTGTGAAGAATACTCATCTTAATCTCTCTGGCACTGAATTTCTGCACTTATATAAAGGAGCTATACTAAATGCTAAAGACCCTTTAGCATAATTCAATAAGTGACAGGACAAAATATGAACACAGTTTTCACATGTTTCAGTATCTTTTAAAGATGCCAATTTGTGTCCTGGTATTTTATCGACAACTAAGTACAAGTTTGTAAAAATGAAATATTCAAAAACAGGTTTTAAGCCTTACTTTATAGCCCAAAGTGTTATTAAAATAAAAAGCACATTCTTATTCCAGAAGTGCCTTAAATTTAATTCAAACACAAGTGTGCTGTCCATACCATGATTAATCCTGAAAGTCCCTGCAGTCTACTTACTTCATAATATACCAAGAATAATATTTCTGATATGTCTAACCATATTTTCAATAGTTCCCCCAGTGCAAAGGGCATTTCAGATTCCTAAAAGGGATGCATCTTGTGATCTTAACTATAGTGGAGGCAAGAATTCTTTGTTGCAAAGGCAGAGGAGGATAGTGAAAATAACTGCAGCCATTAGCTCTCAGCCAGAGAATCTTGGGAATGTCACTTTACCTCTTTTAGTTTTTGTATCTACAATAAAAATGAAGGACTAGACAAGCTGGCCTCAAAGGTTCTTCTAAATCTGTGTTTTGCTTTTTTTTTTTTTTTTTTTAAGTCTTCTCTGTACACATAAGCTCTACTCTTTGCTATGATAACATCTAACATTAGATAATGCTTGCTGCATAAGACAATTAAATACTTATTTTCTTAAATTGTTTTCTTTTGATGGTCTGTCAACAAAGAATTCTTGACTAAATATTGATAATAAACAGTAAGAAAATGTCTTCTAAACCCCATCTTCCTTTGCTATTCTATTCTTGGGAGCACAATAAACTTTTGTCTTCTGAGACTATTTTTCCAATAACAGAACACAGTTTTCACATTGTGTTCTAGTTGGCAGTGTTCTCCTACCTCCCCAGGTTGACTATGAAAATCAAGTAAGTGCATGGGCTGCATCTGATAAATAAATTTCTAAATTTGAGAAAGTTATATCATGAGTTATGAAAGAAGTTTAAAGGCTTTCATAGTAAAATTTATCATTAGCTAAGGAATGGCTAAAAAGGCAAGTTCATTAATAATTGGGTTGAGGGAGTGGGAGGACTTCCCACAGATTGAGAACCGCTAACAGGGTCACCTAAGACCATCAGTGATATTTACATTACGATTCGTAACAGTAGCAAAATTACAGTTATGAAGTAGCAACGAAAATAATTTTATGGTTGGGGTTACCTCAACATGAGGAACTGTATTAAAGGGCTGTGGCATTAGAAAGGTTGAGAACCACTGTCTTAGAGGAAGAGCACCATTGTCTAGTTGAATATCACCTACCTCACAATGTCCACTAAAAGCTGCATGATGTAATGCAGTTCTCCCTGCTCGATCAGACACGTTCACATTACTCAGAAGAGGTACCAAAGCTTCAGCACACTTCACGGCTTTATTAGCAGCAGCTATGTGTAAAGGGGTTTGCCAATTTTTGTCTCGAGCATTAACATCTGCAGAATGCTTCAAAAGTACCTGAACTGCTTCCTAAAACACATGAAGATAAAAGTTATAAAAGACAAATGAGTTAACAGTTTTAGAAATTTTATATATGAAAGAAATAAAATTTCCTGAGTAAACAAGTAGAAATTTGCCAGCCCCCCCAAATATATTTTTAACTAAAGGTAGTATTCAGAGTTATACAGGATGCATCAAGATCAAACATTCTCTATCAAAATGTGCAGAATAAATATTAACAAATATTCTTTAAAAATAATCATTATAACTAGTTTTTCTAGATGGTGAGATAAAATTAATTTATACTTTCAACAGTTTTAAGATGTATTGCTTTGCCATTAAATATATATGAATTTAAAACATAACCATACTTAAATTTCTACACATGCTATATTTTACAAAATAAATAATTATTAGGATCTAGTTCATGAGAAAGAGGTGGCGATGGCGGGAGTATTTGAAGTCTTTGCAACAATAAGATCCTAAGGAATCCAGTATGCCACTGACATTAAGCAAGATAAAGCAATATAATCAGGACTAAAAATAAAATATTCTCCTTATAGTGGTAATCCTATCTTCAGTAGATGAATGATAAACTCTGTATGAAATGTAAAGGATAGAACCAGAATAGAAGCATTTCAAGTCTAATAAAACTGACACTCAGTTTTCTCATCTGTCCACCACTCATCTTAAGTCTGCTATTCAGCAAAAAAAAAAACCCTGAAGGTAGATGAAAAGTGTAAAATAACTATAGCTTTTTAAGCCTTTGAAATAAAAAGTAATCAGAACTGTTTGAAATATGGGAAACAGTACAAGTATTTAACAGGGCTGGCAAAAGAGTGGATAGAAGCCCAGTATTCAATCAACGTGCTAAGGAAGTCAGCCAGCTAATCAAAGATATATGGAGACCTAACCTATAATACCACAATTCCATTCCAGTTATTTACCCAAGAGAAATTTCAAAAGACCCATCTAAGAATGTTTATAGTAGCTTTATTTGTGAGAACCAAAAAACCAGAAATGCAAATGTCCATCAATAAGAAAATGGGTAAACAAACTGTTGTACATTCATACTATAATGAAATACTATTCAGCAATAAAAAGAATGAACCATTAATATACACAATAATATACACGATCTAAAAAATATTATTTTGAACAAAGTTAAGTCTCAAGAGCATATACTGTATGATTCCATTTTTATAAAGTTCTAGGACAGGCCAAGTTACTTTATGGTGAGAGAAATCGGAATATAGGCTGTCCCTGGGGACAGGACGGCTGACTGAAAAGGGACATGAGGGAACCTGCTAGAGTGATGGAATCCTTTTCTGTCCTGATTGGGGAAAAGATTGCCTGGGTGTGTATATTTGCCAAAATTCAAGACTACACACTTAAAGTCTGTGCTTTTTACTGTAATTATACTTCAATTTAAAAAAGAAATAGGGGGAAAGGATGCATAGAAGAATACATATTCTCTAATTCTCTCAAAATTATGAAGAACTAGGCAGTGTCAGTATTCTCTATCCTCATCCTTAAAAAGGGCATACTGTAACTTGGGGAAATAAAACTAACATTGTATATATGGGAAATGTCAATAGGTATGTTAAAGACATATGAGCAAATAATTAAAAACAAGATGAAGAATTTATAATTGGATAAATTGGGCAAATATGGCATGCTGTAAGTGCCAAGCTTGCCTTATCATTCTCACTCTGGAATTCGTGATGCATATATTAAAGCTTCTGAAAAGTTTGGGGAATATTAGTTTCAATACCAAGAATAGAAAAATCAAAACTATTGTTTTGTTTCACTGAAAAGCAAGAATAAATCCAGTTTATGGTAGGTTAGGGTAGGTAAGATGGTGCCTAAGGAAGGCTGGAAATGCAGTGACTAAGACTCTACAATCAGAGATTAAATTTTTTAACCCTGGGTCCACTGCTTTGTACTAAAATGGTTACCCCCCCCAATTCATATGTTGAAACCCTAACTCTCTATGTGACTGTATTTGAGGACAGGTTCTTTAGGAGATAATTAAAATTAAATGAGGTCATAAGGGAGGGACCCTAATCTGATAGGACTTGGTGGCAGAGAGAGAAAGATTTCCCTGCTCCCCTTTCCCCACCTTTCTCCACCATGTGAAGACAGTGAAAAGGGGCAACCTGCAAGCCAGGAAGACAGCCCTCACTGGAAACTGACCCCGCTGGCCTTCTAGTCTCCAGGCTGAGAAAATAAATTTCTATTGTTTAAGACACCCAGTCTTAATTTCGTTATGGTACCCCATGCTGACTACCTTAGCACCATTTAATTTACTACTCAGAATCATTATCTTTGAAAAATAGAGAAAACTAAAGGAATTTCTAATGACTGGAGATATAAAACAAAATAGGTAAATTTCTGGAAATTACAAACCAATGTGTCTGATGTCACATTTCACTAAAATTCAGGATCATATTATCAACCCATTATAAGCATTTAAAAAGTAATGTAGGCATAATCAAGGGTATTTATGGTTTCACTAACGCTGTCAAAGTCTGCCTTGACTTAAACAAACAACAACAAAAACCCAGCTAAGTACATATCCTATGACATCACTTAAATAAGCAACTGAACGACCAGTTGCTCTGACACACACTGCTCACCAGGGGGCAGATGCTCATTGCAGAAGCTGCCCCCTGGTGGTCAATGCGCTCCCACAGACAACCTCTTGAGGTCCCTCCCCCGAGCTGGCCAGGCCCGGTAGGACTGGACAAGATGGTCCCGATTACTGGCCAGGCCAAGAAATCCCTCCTATGCACAAATTCATGCACTGGGCCTCTAGTAAAAGTATATTTAAAAAAACCAACACAATACACACACACACACACACACACACACACACACACACACACACACACAATCATCACAATCAGAAACTGATTCATTCAGAATACTCTGCACCAAAAGAGAGCTGAAGTGTATGCTATACTTAAAGAATGACAGTCACAAATCAGTGGTGCATACAAGCTGAGGCAGCCAGCCAATGACCAGGTGGGTGAAACTCACTAAAGGAGAGCTGAAGAGGATATTTAATCTGAAGCAGTCAACCTAGGCTCAGTGAGGGAATTAAGCCCTCAGACATCACTGTATGTAATAAACTAACCTCTCTACCATGAACCCACAGTGATGTTAGCTATATATGTCCTTGGGAAGATTAAAAAAATAGTTATTCCACTCATCCTCTGTAGGGCTTATTTCTCTCTTGGTATCTCAAAAACATAAACCAAAAGCTACCTACACTTTTTCCTTTTACATACTGATCTGTGGTTATGTTTTCTATTAAGTGAAATAAGCTCTTTTTATACTCAGGATGAAATGTGAATAATTAAAAGAACATCCATAAAATTGATAATCTTGACTAGGTTTCCTAGCAGTTTTGCTAATTTATAAGATTTTGGTTTAAAAAAAATAACCCCTAGGATTTACAGAAATTTTATTTTTATGAAATGGCCACATTTTATAGGTGTTTCCCATAATCCTATAAAAAAGTAATAATACTACATAGTCCAGTGGTTTTTAGGCTGAAAAGCAGACTTAAGAAACTTATTAGGGTCCTTGCTTTCTAATCTATAGCTTCCCCTTAAATTCAGACTAACTACATAATTTTTTAAAAAAAGTCAGCAGTCAGTCAAGTCTCTGGGTAGAATCTGCAATCTTCCTCTAACATTAACTAAAATAATTAAAGAAAATCTTTAAGAATTTTTGGTTTGTTTTACAATCTCTGGAAATATACAGTGTTCTTTCTGATGATTTAATTTGGCAGAACTCCACTAATTTTAACTCATATTCCCAAGAGGTTGGTACGTATGACATTTTATTAATAGATTGAAATGATGATATTTACTTTTTCCTTGCTGGCTTTATTTAAAGAAATTTCCTGACAAGAGGGCTAACCACAAACTTGAAGTTTCAAAGTTTAAAATATTTTAGTTACTATATCTGTTTTCACAATAATCCTCAGATTTGCTCCCCAAGATCACACAGCTAGAAAGTGGCAAGTGATATCTGAAGCCAGTTTCTCCAAACCCAAGTTCCATAATTTATCAGCCATAGCACACCAAGGACCCAGATAGATAGAAAAATAATTTCTCTCTTGTAGGAAGTACGTTTTCTACTCCTCTCTACTTTAGACTCAAATTTTGATTGCTTTTCCTAGCTTTGAAAATACTGAATTTAAATATGAGCTCACTGACAAGCCCACTTAATGTTTTTATATACAATATATTTACTAAGAGAAATTTCATACCTCACTACAAGATGCAACTGCTCTGTGTAAAGGTGTCAACCATTTGCTGTCTTTGGCATTAACTCTAGCTCCTGCAACAAGAAGAAAAAATAAATTGAAATATTTTGCATAAAATATTTTAAGTAAATCTCCTTAAATAGTTATATATAGTCCAAATTGAATAAATAACAATTGAAAAAGTAGTACTTTACTTTAATACTTTCTAATAAATTACCCTTAAATTACAAAACAAAACTATCCCTTTTAATTGATATAATTATCCAATAAGAAATTCACTTTTTATCAAAAATAAAAGATCACAGAAAGGCTAGAAAAGCCACCTTTATACAGAGCATATCCCAAGTAAAAATCAGACCCCATTTTAGAATGTGTGTTAGGAATTCAAATAAATTAAATAAAAATACTCAGACATAAAATGTAGGCTATTAAGAAGTTTTCATTATATTTCTTTACTAGTGAATATACCATGTTATAGAACAATATAATATCAAAATAGTTTTCCAGTGATAATTAAAAACTCATTAACACTATAAAGTTACTGTATAAAATGGATATAATAGCTATCAATTTTTTAAAAATTGAGAATGAGATGAACCAATCCACATGTCTTTAATACCTAAAGGCTTAAAGAAGTAATAACTTTAAAAAAAAATCAACAATGAATAGCTGTTTAAAAATCATTAAGTCAATAGACAAAAATTATCCTTAATAGAATGGAAATACATTTAGCAAGACAAAAAATGCATAATTTTAGGGGGGGAAATCTAGTGTCTCCATAAAATCCACTGATTTGGTACCCAAGTCCCAACCAAAGAGAAAAAGCCCTGGCTCTTTGAAGTATAAAGGAACTGGTGATAGGTCCTGCACTATCAGCTATCCTAGGTTAATACCCAAAATCTTAACTAGCTTTACATAACCAGTCTAACCTCCTTATTTTCCAGATTAATTGCAGATAGAGTGAAACCTCATTGTCAGAGTAAGCCAGAGCAGAACCAAGGCTAGAATTCAGACCTCCTAATGTTTACATTCTGTTTTGAGTGTGAGGTTCCAAGGAATATTCAAGTGCAGTAACTCCAAGTATAGCTCTAGAAACTACTAGCTATGGGCCTTTAACTAGTTGTGTGATCCTAGTCATTAAATCAGGAAAAAATAAAATAGCAGCCCCATATCAATTGTTGATGGTAGGTTAGTGGGAGACCCTATGGTAGAAGAAAGCACTGCTGAGAAGACAATAAAGATAGCAATTTAAGAAATGTGGCATTGATGACTATTGCAAATCAACAATAAGAGGTATTATTCTGTAAAGAATAATACCTCTTAAATACTAGAAGTACCGTGTTTCCCCGAAAATAAGACCTAGCGCATGGAAAGATAAGACATCCCCTGAAAATAAGACCTAGCGCAACTTTGGGAGAAAAAATTAATATAAGACACTGTCTTATTTTCGGGGAAACAGGGTACATCACCTTAAATCCAAAATGGTTAGTTCCAATGGTATAAAATAACTTTCTATTCTAGACTCACATTCTCCCATAAATCCATGTACATCAACAGAACATGCCCTTAATATCTGCAGCCTAAATCTATGCCATTATCAAATATCTGAATTTAGATTCACCTTTCCAGAGTAGAGATATGATGAGATTTCTGATAGGTTAAAAGCAAAAGAGAATAAACAAGCAAAAATCAACAGCAGGGTCACTCAAATAGGCTGTATCCATTTGATACCATAGTTAGGATATATAGAAAAATCTAGACAACTAGCTTCCTCTTACCCAATTTTTCATTTAATAATTCATACATATAAAATTATACCCTGAAAGAATAGAATTTTTAATAAAAATGATATTTAAGGTAAGATTTTCAGAATTAGATAAATGTCTAGCTCATTTAGACATGGACCAAAAAGTAATTTTTAAAAAGAAAAAATCTGGTTATTTACATTAGTCACTTTGGGCTCTAGACAGCAAAGCAGTCGAAGAGAGGTCTGGACGTGTGGGGAGTCAGGGGTTAGTGGAAGGAACCTAGGAGTGGAACCTGTGATCTAATAATGGCTCTGTAACCAATAGGCTGTGTGACCTGAGGCTGTTACCCATAGCCCATGACTTCATTTGTTGATGATAGTCCCTGCCTCCTACATGTGTATGTGCATCTGTGTGGGTTGTGTATATGTGGCAGGGAGAGTTGAGTGAGGGAGGATGGGCCTCAGGTTCAAACAACATAGGGAGCTTCTGTTTCTGCAAAGTGAACTCTAAGAGTCAGGCACTAAATCAGAGTATCCCATTTGACTCTAGGTCTCATTCTGCAAGATAACTGGTCCACCTGCTGGATCCTTAATATACTCAGTCACCAAATGCCAACTCTTTGATTTGTGCTAAACAATCTGCAAGATCCATTTTCAGTTATAACATCCTATCCTATTCTGAAATACTCAGAATAAATTATCTCATATTATTAAATACCCTGCTCTAACATTTAATAGATGAAGTAGTATCTTTATAATTCATGCCAAGGATCTTCAAATTATAGACCATAGGCTGCCTGCCACCTGTTTTGTAAGTAAGTTTTTACTGCTACAGAGTCACACATATTCATTTAAGTGTTTAATCTGTAGCTTTCAAATTAAAGGAACTGAGTAGTTACCAGAATGTCTGTAAGGTCCTTTACATAAAGTCTGTCATCCTCTGATCAAGGCTAAATATTTGATAGTTGATACTATTAAAGTTATTTCAATTTTTCATAAGTGTTTGTAATAATTACAAGCAGTACCACTAATAATTTTCTAAAACTTCTATTTGCAGAGAATAGTTCTCTTCTCTGCTCCTAAGCCACAGAGCAGACAGTCCATAACCAGTGAACTGGGACAGGAGCCAAGTACTTTCACTCCTCTTCCCAAACTGGAAATAATGTTCTCCTCTGGCCACCTACCAAAAGCAGTGGCAAAGCTTCAGATTCTGTTTTCAGGTTGGGAGTGAAATAGACAATTACATTTCCATCTCCACCTGCAATGTTGGGGGAAGAAACAACAGCAGCTGCATTGTATCATTTAAGAGGAAGTTATGGATTCCAGATATTGTGTACTGAACTGTACCCACAGCCCCCCAACTCATATATTAAAGTCCTAATCCCAACACCCCAGAATGTAACATTATTTAGAAATGGGGTCTTTACAGAAGTAATTAAATTGAAATGAAGCCATTAGATGTGTCCTAATGCAATTTGACTGGTATTCTTATAAACAAAAGAAATTTGAACATGAACACAAGGAGAAGGCGGTAATCTATTAGCCACAAAATGAGAAGGGCCTAGAATAGTTCCTTCCCTCACAACCTTCAGAAGGAACGAACTTTGACAACACTTGGACTTTGGACTTCTAGCCTCCAAACTGTGAGAAAATAATTTTTTTTTTTTTTGTTTAAGGCACTCAACTTGTGGTATTTTGTTGTGGCAGTCCTAGCAAATTAATGTACCAGCATTGTAGGTTTTCTAATAACAAAAACATAATACATGTATTTCCTTATCAAGAACTCTATCCTAATATATAAAGAGCTAGGGCTGTCACAACCGAATGGATGACTGAACAGCAGGCTGCATGGGGTGACCAGGCCTGCAGGGGGTTTAGTAAGAGATGACCAAATGACTGAATAGCAGGCTGTGTGGGGCGACCAGGTCAGCAAGGGGGGCAGTGAGAGGGAACCAGGCCAGCACTGGGGGGAATTGGGGGCAGCCAGGCCAGCGGAGGTGGGGGGTCAGTAAAGGGGAAACCAAGGCAGGCAGGAGGGCATTTGGGGGTGACCAGACTGGCTGGGGGGAGGGGGGGAGGGGAAGAGGTGTCAGTTAGGGGCAACCAGGCCAGCAGGCAGAAGTGATTAGGGGTGATCAGGTTGGCGGGGGTGGGGGAGAGGGCGGGGAGTAAGGGGCGATCAGGCAAGTAGTTAGGAGTCAGCAGTCTCAGATTGTGAGAAGGATGTCCGACTGCTGGTTTAGGCCAGCTCCCTGGCATCAAGCCTAAACTGGCAGTCGGACATCCCCCAAGGAGTCCCAGATTGGAGAGGGTGCAGGCTGGGCTGAGGGGGACCCTTCTCCCACTCCCACTTAAATTTTGTGCACCAGGCCTCTAGTTTTCTATAAAAGGCCAATCAAATGAACTTGTGACTAAGGACTTATACAACACAGTTATTTAACCATCTACTATATGACAAGAAAAATCTGAGCTACTGCAAAACCTCTGGTTTTATATAGACAAACCTTGTTTTATTGCTTTATTGTACTTCATAGATATTGCGTTTTTATAAATTGAAGACAGGACTTCTACCAACAAAAATATTATGATTCTCTTTACTGAGATACTTGCTTTATTATGAACCCACAATATCTCTGAGGTATGAATGTACAAACAGCAAATAGCTCCCATAAAATGTTCTATACTTAGGTAGCCAAAAAATTTAGTCCTTAAAACAGAAGTTCTTCACTAAAGTCACTACCTACACAAATTTTACTGAATGCTGGGGCTAAGGGGATAATATGTGTGTGGGATAAAATTATAACAGAGTTATAATGCAGTTGAGAGAAGAGCCATTCAGATTATAACAGAGTTAAGAATACAGTCTCTGTAGTAAGATGGCATACAGAGACTGTATTCTTAACTCTGTTATAATTCTACCCCACACACATATTATCCCCTTAGCCACACCATTTAGTAAAATTTGTGTAGGCAGTGACTTTATAATCAGTAGCACAACTTTCAGCCATAAATCTCTAAATGCTTTAGTTTCCTTACAGTTAAGAGGACAAAAAGAAATAAATGAAAAAACTAAATTTAGCATAGTATTTGAGATATAGAAAGCAATCAGTTTCCTCTTACACCCCATTCAATAATAATTGTGAAGTTAATACTACTAAATGGAGCCTAATCAGGCAGTAGGACACCCCTCGAGGGGTCCCAGATTGAAGAGGGTGCAGGCTGGGCTGAGGGATACCACCCCCTTTCCCCCCCACCTTGCAAATTTCATGCACTGGGCCTCTAGTAAAATTAATAAAAACCATGTCACACCAATCAACACTCTCCATTGTTTTTTAACATCACTTTAAGGGCCAGAGTCTTGACCATAGTCTACAAAATCACACATGATCTGGGGCCTTGCCATCTCTCTGCTTCATCTCCTACTGTTCCTTTCGCCTATCCCCAATCATGCTGCCACCTCATGGCATTTGTTCTTGATGTTCTCTCAATTTCCTCTAAATATCTGCATGGTATGCAAGGCTTGCTTCCTTATTTTCTTCAGTTATCTTCTCAAATGTGTTATCATCAATCCTTTCCTAATAACACAATATAAAATTGCAACTGACTCCACCCAATATACTATTCTAATTTTGTCATAGCAATTATCACCATAAAACAAATTATCTATATATTAACTAGTTACTGTTTTCCCCAAACATAACTACATGAAGGCTGGTAATTCATCTATTTTACTCACTGCTCTACCCATAGTACCTAGAATAGTGCCTAATATAGGAACATGCTCTTAAAATATTTGTTGAGGGAAGGAAGGACAAGTATAAGGAAAAAAATCTAAAACTAAATCAAAAAGACAAAATTACAATCAGAGAAAAGCAGACAGAGACAGATGGAGATCCAACATAGTAGAAAAACACATGTAGAAAATTTTACTGATAAAAAAGCATACAGAAATGGAATATTCAAAGACTTAATGGAAGATATAAATGAAATAAAAATATGAATTTCAGAACTAAAAGTGCAGTTTCATATTATGTTCCAGGGAAAATAATCACTAGATTATTGAAGCCTAATGAAGTTAGTACTGAATTTCAGAAATAAAGAATTGATTCCTACAGGCATCTAGGCAGAAGAGAAGTGACCATGGTGGGTAGTGTGGGGGGATGAAAATGATAAGCAGAGAAGAGCTTTATCTAAGATTTCAATCAAATCTAGAAGACACTGCAGTAACATCAGCAAAGCTTTGAGGAAAAAGTATGAATTGAGAATTTTATTACTAAACATTCTACCCTTCGGCTAAAAAAGGCAATAGTCCCAAATAAATAAGATACCAGGAAATATGGCATTCATGAGTTACTGAAAATATGAAGACAAAAATTACTTGATGATAATGTCTATTCAACCAAGAGATGTAAAAATAAAAATCTTGGGAATAGAAAAACTATGATTAAAGACAGAGGGTGTGTGGAGGGCTGGGGTGGGGTAAAAAGTAGGAATCTATATATATAAATGCCTAAGTGACCATTAGGACTGAATGACAACCAGCTGTTAGCTGCTAGCTATGACTTGTACTGACCCAGACCTTGCTGATAGCCCCGAATCTGGTTCACCCGCACCCAGACCCAGACAGGAGGGAGGAGGGAGTCTCATTCCTCGCACAATTGGCTGCTGGTTAGCTTGTTGTTGGGGCCAACCTCCTGTGGTCCCTTCCCTAGCCAGCCAACCTCCCACGGCCCTTCCCCCCAGCGGGCCAGACACCCCCCCCCCCCCAATTAGCCCTAATCATTGGCGAGGCAGAAGGACTCCACCCATGCACAAATTCATGTACCAGGCCTCTAGTTATGATAAGACAGAATGTAAAGTCATAATTCCTGGCAATGAAAACACAAGAGTGAAACAAATTAGAAGTGATTTCTTAACTTCTCAATAGAAAATAATCAAAACCTAAACCACAAACATGGTAGAGCATGGTTTTATAGAATGATTTTAACCTTTTTATACTCTATTTTTAATTTTAAAGAAATATTTTAGGAACATATACCTATGTGGTCAATGAGGCCCACTATGAATACTCTATTTAACATCCTATCTTATATAAGGCCCATTATTCTCATCTACTTTTTCATTTTCCTGTAGCAATTATCACCTTCTAACACACTATAAAATTTACAGCCCATTTTTCTTTATTAGAATATACTTTCCACAAAGTACACTAACCTCTGTAATAGTACCTGGCATATCATATGAGATCAATGTTTGTAGAATGAACAATTAAGTTTCAGCTTATTAAACAAATATGAAGAAACAGTTAATTAGGTTTATAAACATTAAGACAAAAATATGCATGATGTGCTCTTATTATATAGAGCTTACCATACCAGATAAAATAAGCAGTTCAATGATCTCTGCATCTCCAAGATAGGCAGCAGCATGCAGTGGAGTTCTTTTTTCACTGTCCTGTGATAAGAAGGAAAGGTGGCACATGAATTTTCATATAAAGTTTATTTTAATATTTTAAAAATATATTTTATTGATTAACTTTACAGAGAGAAGGAGAGAAATAGAGTTAGAAACATCGATGAGAGAGAAACATCAATCAGCTGCCTCCTGCATACACACACACACACACACACACACACACCCGCCCCCCGGGATGTGCCCACAACCAAGGTATGTGCCCTTGACTGGAAATGAACCTGGAATCTTTCAGTCCACAGGCCAACGCTCTATTCACTGAGCCAAACCCGGTTTCGGCTCATTTTAATATTCTTTAAATGAAGAAAAACCACTTAACTATTTCTACAATTCTAGATTAGCCTGCAAATCCCAAAGTATTTCCTTGCTAAGAAAAAAGTAAAGAAAAGAAAAAGTAGCTTTAAAAAGAATAAAAGAAAAAAAAAAATCGAAGATGACAAAAATAGCTTTTTAGCCCGGCTGGTGTGGCTCAGTGGTTGAGCAATAACCTATGAACCAAGGGGTCACTGTTCCATTTCAGGTCAGGGTACATGTCTGGGTTGTGGGCTTGATCCCCAAAAGGGGACATGCAGGAGGTAGCCAATCAATGATTCTCTTTCATCATTGATGTTTCTATCTCTCCCTTTCTTCTTCTCTCTGAAATCAATAAACACGTATTTTAAAAAAATTTAAAAAAGAACTAGCTTTTTAGACTTCTTTTGAATAAAGATACCTAAGCTTCTAATAAATACAGGCCAATTTTCTTTACTTCATCCTGCACTCCCAGCCTCCCATCAATATATTTTCATAATTTTACAATTTATAGAAGTGTTGCCTTAACTAAATTAAAAAATCTTTAGAAACCAAAATTTTTCCTTATGAAAATGTTTCCATAGGAGTGGCCATAGTGGCAAAAAGGGAAATTACTCTGAGATCTGAAATTATCCCTTTCCAATTCCATTTTTGGCTCTTAGTATATATTTCTACCTTCCTAAATACCAAAAATACAGTTTTCCAAATCTTCCTTCTGGCTTATGTACTTCTCCCCTCAAACAATAATGTTCTCCAGTTTGAGAAGCAACATCTTAAAGTCATATTTCAGGATTTTTAATTCATATTTTCAACTCAACTAAAGTTACAACAGTATTGCTGACTTAGTTGCATCTGAGAAAACTATTCATTTAGAAATAATTATTTAGAAATTTACATCTGGTGTGTTTTTGTGTTTGTTTGTTTGTTTGTTTTTTAATTATAGGCTTTTGTGATGAATTGTTAGTTGTTTTCAGTAGCGTCTTTCCCCTTTGTCCAGAGGAATAAAGTTTTAGCAGAGAATACACTACTAGGCTGCCTTGAAGTGCTGTTACTTAGTGTGGAATAGTGGTATAATAATGGAAGTGAAACACACAACTTTCAGGTCATCTTCAACTAAAAAGAGAACCACTTTAGAGATAGACTAATACTTTCCCACTTCCCATAGGCTGGAAGGCAGATGTGAAACTAAGCCAGCTTTGACTATGCAGAGGTAGGCCAATATCCAAGAAGTATTTCAAGCAACACGATCCCGAATGACCTTATAGAGCAGAGTTGCTACACAATCTTGGACGACAATTTCTCTTAATAGCCTGGAAGTTAAAACTTCTTTGTATTTTGGGGTCTCCTACCATATCAGAATATTATAACTGTCAAGATTTAAAATAATCAAAAAAATTATTTTACATAACTTTTTAGTTTGGCAATACCCTAATTACTCTAAGAAAGGATAAACTACTGAGAATACATTAGGAAAAATACCGCTAGTCAAAAGAGGTTTAAAATATTCATAGAAAATTAAAAAAAAAAAAAAAAGGCTTAGCTGTAATGTAACAAGATATTATAAAGCTGCAACAGTTTTCATTGGATTGCCATACACTACTTCATATAATTTTAATATATTAGTGAGACTATTTTTGTCCCTATAATAATAATAACAGGTGCTCCAGTACAGGGAGACTAGCCTAGTGGCTAAGAGTTATTATTTCTCTAACCACAATGAATTTACACACGACCATGTTTTTTTTTTATTCCAATATGTGCAAATAGAATTCTTTGCACAGAAATTACTGAACAATTAGTCACGGAAAAAGCTAAAATTGAACCACTAAAATATGACTTTATTGAAAGCTTAGTCCTAATTTAGTCATTTTAATAAAAGGATCCTTGGCTTAAGGCTTTTCAGTGTTAATCATTAAACAGCAAACTTCCCCAGTGTTTAAAGTACCATCAGACATACTCAAATTGAGAAACATTTCTACTACACAGGATAAATCCTGCACACAGCACACACAAAGTGGTCATTTATGTATAATATGAGGGATATCCGGAATCCTATGACTCAATGTCTTGAATATTATTCATGCATTTAATGACTCATGGATAAGTTTTCCCGCTCTAAAAACCAATTAAACTAACAACAAGACACCCATGAAAAACTCACATGGTGTCAAAACAAGCCAGAGGGAAATCATTTGAGCAAAAAATGAAAAAGGATCCCAAGTCAAATTTATAGAAAATATTTCTTTTGGTGAGAATATGTTTGTATATTTTCAGAAAACAACTCCGAGACCATGTGGATTCTGGCAAGAGAGAGGAAGTGACAGGACCACTCCAACCATGAAGACAGAAGAGAAGCAGTCCAGAGATGGAAGATGCTGACAATACCTTGCCATAATAACAGTCAGCAGCTGTGTATCACTGCAGGTTGCCCAAGACCAAACCAGAGAGGGTGAGATCTGCATTACCACCATTTGTCCACCATCCAGGACTAAAATAGCATGGCTGACATGTACACATAAGGAGCTGTTTGACATTGAAATTGGGTCTCAAAAGAACTGTTGGCCCAGAAAGAAACTCACTACAGACTGATTCATATGCCTTTCAGCATAACGATTATTACTTGTCTCATTTTTGATTTTTGACATGATTGATCTCACTCATCTAGGGGAAATGGTGAACAACATAGACTGATGAACAAGAACAGACCCAGAGATAAGGAGCCATGGGTCTGACTGCTGGATCTCAAAGGGAGGGTGGGGATAAAAGGGAGAGATCAACCAAAGGACTTATGTGCATACATATGAGCCTAACCAGTAGTCAAGGACAATAGGGGGTGGGGGCATGAGTGGGGAAGGGTGAGGGATTAAATGGGGGGTTGAGGACAACTATGTGATACCTTAATCAATAAGGAAATTTAAAAAATAAAAAAAAATAAAAAGCAATTAAAAAATAAAGGAATAAATTGTTCCATTAAAATTTAACCTGTCCACTTTAAATTTAATCCAGCTAAATATTAAAACTTGGGCAACAAAATATTTAAGATTCATTTCAATAAAATTTATTAAAATTAAGAAATGATTATGCCCTTACATACAATAATTCCATTTCATGGAACTCTTTTTAGATAAAGATATTCCTATCTGTGTGCAAATAATAGCTTAGGTATATTTACTGATCATCCTAGGAAGCAATATGATGGGAACAATGTAAATGCCCACCAATAGGGGAATGGTTATCTAGAATATGAAACACAAGCTATTAACCAACCTTCATTTAACTGACTCATGTGATCAAACAATATTTTCTGTTTCCTGAATAAAACTAATGGAGACTTTGGCACCCCATGTATTCTGACTATTAGATTACCACTAATAAGACCTTGCACTTATAATGCAAGGAAGACAACATTAAACTGTCAGTGACTCCACATTGTCAATGAAAAGTCTGTGGCCCAATTTTTAAAAAATGGTTGGGAAATACACTTGTTATAGCAAAATGCTTAAAGATCACTATTTAAGATTCCCTCTGTCAGACTTTGATAAGCTTATCAACTACCAGTTCTGAATATTACCAGATGAGAGGCCTTGTGCTTATACAATCATATAATTAAATACTGTGTCAGCGGTCTGCATCCAATTCCAATGTGTGGGGGTTTCCCATCTGTACATCCAAGCAATGCTCCAACAGAACTGAGTACCCACGATTCAACTCAATGTTGACACTATCTCCAGGAGATAGCACCAGATCCTACAGATTAAGGCTTCAATCCTACAAAGACTGCCCCTTTATCCATGGTTCTGCTTTCCGCAGTTTTAGTTACCCATGGTCAACCTTGGTACAAAAATATTACATAGAAAATTACAGAAACAAACAATTCATACATTTTAATTTGATGCAGTTCTGAGTAGCATGATAGAATCTTACACCACCCATCCTGGGAAGTGAATCATCCCTTTGTCCGCCATAGTTCCGCTACCAGGCTGTTAGCCACTTGGTAGTTATCTCCATTATCAGATCAACTGCCTTGATATTACAATGATTGTGTTTAAGTAACCCTTATCTTACTTACTAATGGCCCCAAAGCATAATAGTAATGCTGACAATTCAGATGTGCCAAGAAGTAGTAAATTGCTTCCTTTAAGTGAGAAGGTGAGTTCAGTACAATAAGATATGCTGAGTCAGGAAGGAGTGTGGAAGAGCACGGGTAAAAAATCCATATGACTGACCTCTCCAGTACCCAGCATAGTAACTGGCCCATATCTGTCAAGGGAATGAACCCACATAGACAACACCAGCAAAAAACTAAACTGGACATTAAGAAAACTGGGTTCTTATGCTATCTCTGCTAAATCAAGTGACCAACTTAAGCTCTAAGGGCCTTAGTTTCCCCTCATCTATAACAGATATGATTTAACTTCTGGATCTCCAAGATAACTTTCCCAACTATCCTAAAAAATGGAAGGCATGGTTTTTTACCTTGGGGAAAATTCTATTTATAGAATCTAGATATTAATTCATGTTGTAATCTAGATAGTTTCATCAGTAGTAATATTAAAAAGAAAAATCCATAGAGCATCTTATTTTAAATACTAAATTTACTTTCTTCTACAAATTTAGCAGTAATCAAATACTCCTAAGTCAAGGCTTACTTGCTTTTCATAATAATAAAAAAAAAATCACCAAAATTATAT